GGCCACGGCAGCAGCCGCGACCACGCTCGGCACGGGCGCGGGCTGGTGGCCAGCGCGTCGTAGGGCGCGCGCCCCCTCGTGCGGTGCAGCCGCAGGCGTGCCTCGGACTGCGCGCCCTGGAACGCCCGCTCCCTGCCGTGCCACGCAAATGCAGGCACAGGCGCCCTCCGACAGACGTTGCCTGCACCGTGCCAGGGAGGGTGACGGTGCAGAGAGCCGCTGGCCTCTCCAGTGGTGCTCTATACACACCGCCACCCTCCCCACGAGGCCCACGAGCAGTGGGTGGAGCAGGGAGCGACCGTCCAGGCATTCCTGCAGGCCTACCACGACGCGTTCCCAGACTCCAAAACTGCTTTACGAACAAGAGTGTTCTCAGAACATCAGCCCGATGCGCCAAAACAGGACAGTCTCAGCCAGACATGTTCCAAGAACACGTCGTGCAGAACCCCGAAAAAGTCCTCTGAACATCCTTGGGTGGGCCCATCGACAAACCAGGACGCTTCGCCACTGCTCGGCGCAGTCCAGTGGAAGGCGCCTGTGTGCAGACTTGTGTGGCGGACCTGCCGCTGCCGGAGCTGCTGCTGCTGCTGCTGCTGCTGCTGCTGCTGCTGCGGCTGCTCGTCGTCCTGAACGCGCGCGCTCTGCGGAGCTCGCCGCGGCCGCTGCCGCAGGGCGGGCGGCGGAGCCCCGCGGCGGCCTCCGCGTGGGGGCGGGCGGCTGCGGAGGCAGCCGGCGGGCCCTCGCCGGCGGCTGGGCCCTCGGCCGTGGACGTGCCGCCGAGGCTGCAGGCGTCGCTGGTGGACATGCCGCCGCTGCTCCTGTAGCTGTCGGCCACGGCCACGAGACTGAGGGAACGCGCCTGCCCGTCGCCGAGGCTGCAGGCGTCGCTGGTGGACATGCCGCCGCTGCTCCTGTAGCTGTCGGCCACGGCCACGAGACTGAGGGAACGCGCCTGCCCGTCGCGAGGGGCGGCGGTCGGGCTTTCGCCCTTGGCCGCGCCGCCGCCGCTGTAGGCGTCAAGCAGGAGGCTGAGAGAGCACGCCTTCCCGTCGGCGCGCCATGCGTCGAAGTCCCGCGAAGTTCCCGGCGGCGGCTGCTCCGGCTGCGGCTCGGAGTCCACGGCCACTGGCGGGGCCCGCATGAGGAGCGCGGCCCTGGGGGGGGGGGCTGGAAAGATTTGCTCCAAAAAAAGCTACGGGCATGACGAGCGCAAGCTGCACGCCGAACGGGGGGAAGCCGGCGGGAAGCTGGTGCTCCTCGCTGGCTGGTGCACCTGCCGGAACAGTGCACCTGTGAAAGGAGGGGCGGCATGGGGGTGTCGATGGGCGAAGGCCACATGCTGGGCTCTGCTCGTCCTGGAGGGCGGTGGAACCCGGCCCCCTACCGCTTCCCTCCTGCCTGCTTCGAGGGTCGAGGACCCAGGCTTGCGGGCGCACCGGGCGTTTGCGGGGTGTGGGGACGGGGGGGCGTCCCAGGCGGCGGCCCCTGGAGGGGGGCCTCCGCAGGCCTCGATCCTTCTTGCGCCCGAACGCAGGACGGGGGGCGGATCCGCGGATAGGGGCCTGGGCAGGCCCCCCCGCCCTGGCGCGCCGCCCCTCTGAGAGAGCCCCCCCCCGCGGACAGCCACGGCAGCGCGGCGGTGAGGACGGGGTGTTCACAGTCGTCGCGTTTCTCCTCCTACTCCTCGTCCTCCTCTTCCTCCTCGTCCTCCTCATCCTCCTCCGCGAGCGCATCGGTGCGAACCCGAGGACGGGCCTGCTCGAGATCCATCGTCTGTCCAGCCGCGGCCCTCAGGGCGCGAACACCCAGTACAAGTGGTCGAAGTAGAAGACCAGCTACTTCTCCAAACCACCAGCATAAATCGAATGTCAAATGTCCAAGCAATCTCCAGACATCAGCAATACTCAGAAACCAATAGTGCGAGGCCGCTCAGGTACGCGACATCCTGGGAATATGAAGGCCCCAACACCCCCTCAGCGGCCAAGTGTGCTGACACCATCAGCCGCCAAAAGAGCGCTTTCGCTCATCCGCTGCAGCGAAGGGGGTGTGGCCAGAAGAAAAGGCCGCCACGTCCGCGACCGCGTAGGTAAATGCATGGCCCCAACACCCCCTCAGCGGCCAAGTGCGCTGACACCGTCAGCCACCAGAAGAATGGTTTCGCTCATCCGCTGCTACGAAGGGGGTGTGGCCAGAAGAAAAGGCCGCCACGTCCGCGACCGCGTAGGTAAATGCACGGCCCAAACACCGCCTCAGCGGCCAAGTGTGCTAACACCGTCAGCCACCAGAAGAGAGCTCTCGCTCATCCGCTGAAGCGAAGGGGGGGCGGCCAAAGAGGAGGCAGCTCAGGTGCTTGACCTCGTACGAATATGGAAGGGCCCCAACACCCCCTCGGCGGCCAAGCGGGCTGGCACCATCAGCCCACCAGAAGAGTGCTCATGCACATCCGCTGCAACGAAGGGGGCGTGGCCATCTGAGAAAAGCATCCACTCGATCAGTTCGCCGAACTGGCCTCAACGGGCTTCAGCACTGCTCCCGAAACTGGGTGCCGACCATCGAGGGGGCGCTCCAGCTTCCTTCTGTTCTGCTTGCCGTAGGCAGTGGTGATACACAACCGTCGGCCTCCAACGCATCGCTGCAATAGACCTGACGACCCCGAAGAGGCTTCGCCGAAAAAAACACACCTTCGGCACGCCGTGTACGGGCCGCGTTGACAAGACCGTCCGAGCTCTTCTCCTCGAACACGTCCTCCGCAACCGTAGGTCTTTCCCCAAACACTCGATTAGCTCCCAGCAATGCATGGGCCACCGCCTCGAACTGCCTAGTGGGGACATTTGTCTTGCCAACGTAGTCGGCCTGGGCTTGACACTTGAAGCGTCCGAGCTCCGTCGGCGCACATGTGGTCGACTGAAGGTTGGCCCTGACCTTCTGTCCTGCCGCGCCCTTTGCCACATCGCATACATCGCATGTAGCCGTCCTTGAGCTCCACGAATCGATGATCTTGTCTGGCCATCTGCACTGGCCCCCCAAACTCCCGTGGCTCCCATGACCATATATTCCATGACATGGGAAAAGCACTGGTTGTCATTCTGGTGGTGTTTCAACTCCGCTTGGTAGATGTCCGCCAAGACTATCGACGCCCGATGTTTGACCGCCCCTTCCTTTGCGAAATAATCTGCTCACCAATTGCCATACCACCATATGCGATGAAATTCCAGTTGCAGGTACTCGTCGACGTCCTTATGTGCTGGCGTCCAAGCAACTGCAGGCGGTACCCCCTTTCGCCGTGCAGACTACCATCCTCCAAATATTTGCATGTTTGCCCGCCGAAGCCTCCAACTGAGCCGTCCAGCTGTTCGCCTTCCGTACTGGACCAGCCAAATCGGGCACGACCAATCTTACGTGCGGGTACGCCCCCAGTCCTTGAAACACCGCATATCTCTCAGCTCGGCCAAGTGTCTGTCGTGCCTCCGGGAGCGGCCCAGACGCTGCCCGTGACGGCAAACATTGTTCGGATACGTGTATCGCTGACTATCCACATCTGCACAAATCGGCAATAGAAGACTCATACTCAGATCCATCCGTGAAGATAGTAGCCGACCATCCTGATGGGTCTAACGCCCAGTCAACCCAGAGGAAAACTTGCGCCTGAGTAGCAGGGGGTCAGCAGGCGGGGGTAGCGTAGATAGTCCCACCGATAGCTGCGTTTCGCAGTCAGGCTTGCCCAGGCCATTCTGGTACCCCCTGTCCGTGGGCCACTTCTGCATTTCCAACAACTTCTCAGGCAACTCTAACCCCTCGCTCTGGCCGGCCCCATTCATAACCCCAGGGCACACGTGAACTCGGCGCCCTGGCGTATCAAAGGGCTCCTTACACACGCGGCAAAATTCTTCTCGAGCAAGGCCCGTGGGATACTTCTGTGATTGCGTCCACGGCGTACCACTCCACAGCGCCCGAATACAACCAGCTTGGCTAGCCTTGCCAATCGCCGCCCTGGGTCCTGCCACAATAGCCCTCATGGCCCTACGCCATAATGGCGTGTCAATGCTGGTGCCGACGCTGTGGTGGCACAATATCTTCTTGTGCTGCCATCGTTCAGTGCCCTCTCGAAGTAGCCTCTTCATCTCCTGCGGGCATGTGGAAGGCAATGATATCTTGTCCTCCGAATATGTCTACAGTACCGTCGAAGATAGTAAGTTCCAGCCAATCCGACTGAGACCGCACCAAGCTCCAGCAACTGCCCCTCTGACCATGGACCATGTGATGAAACCTCTTGGCCGTTCTCTGAATCGAGCATACATAGATTGCCAGGCCCTCTTAAGTTTGCCCAAGGAACTCTCCTCCTCCTCCTCCTCCTCCTCCTCCTCCTCCTCTTCCTCCTCCTCCTCCTCCTACTCCTCATTACATCGTGCTACCACAAGAAACGCTGAACAAGGAACAGAGGGGCTCTTCTGGCCCCGGCGAGTACCATCCAGGACCTGAGCCTGAGAAACGTCCCGAAGACCATAGCCCCACCCGAGCCCAAAGCGTTCCCTGATTACCTCAGTGTGTTGACCGTGCTTCCCACGGGGGCTGCCATGTGCATTCCTTCCTCCTGGACACCGCCTAGAGGCAAGGCCAGAGGCCCAGTTGACTTGCAAGATGGCCACGTGGGACCCCGATCGGCACGGATGTCCGCGGACCCCTCACTCCTCGCCTACCCTCCTCCTCACTCCATCCCCCTCCTCCTCCTCCTCCTCCCCTCCCCTCCTCCCCTTATCCCCCTTCTCCTCCTACTTCCTATTCCTCCTCCTCCTCCCTCCTCCTCTACTCCTTCTCCTCTCTCCTCCTCCTCCTCCCTCCTCCCTCCACTCCTCCTCCTCCCCCTCCTCCTCCCTCCCCTCCTACTCCCCCTCCTCCTCCTCCTCCTCCTCCTCCTCCCACCTCCTCCTTCCACCTCCTCCTCCTCCCCCCCCTCCTCCTCCTCCCTCCTCTCCCCTCCTACTCCCCCTTTCCCCTCCTCCTCCTCCTCCTCCTTCCTCCTCCTCCTCTCCTCACCTCCTCTCCTCCTCCTCCTCTCCTGCATTCCTCCTCCTCTACTCCCCCTCCTCCGCCTCCTCCTTCTCTCCTCTTCCTCCTCTCCCCCTCCTGCCCCTTTCCCCTTCCTCCCCCTCCTCCTCCTCCTCCTCCCACCTCCTCCTCCCTCATCCTCCACCTCCTCCTCCTCCTCCTCCTCCTCCTCCTCCTCCTCCTCCTCCTCCTCCCCACCATCATTAGACAAAGCCAGGACGAGGATAACATCGGGTGAGGATGCCTCGGGCGCCGCGGCCTCCACAGAGCGGTCCGGAACGCTCTGAGAGCGTTCCGGAAAGCTGGAACAGATTTATCCTCTCCCTAGCCCTGTCCGTGCTGGACGTGGGCGTGGACGACCCGCTATGAGATGGGACGATGATTTTGTGCAGATGTTCGTGCGATGTCTATGGATCAGACTGGCCGCATCGCCGATGCATCGCCGATGTATCGGCGATGCATCGGCGATGCATCGGCGACGTCGGCGATGCATCGGCGACATCGGCTTCGGGAAGCACGGGCTCCACATCGAGGCGCATCGTTGTTGCATCGGCGATGCGGTACGATGCTCCGATCTCATCTACTCGGACCCCATCTGGGGGGCCCAGATTAGCCCCGTCAGACAGCACCCTGCAACCCCTTCTGGCGGGGCCGGCGAGCGGCCAAAACCACATCGGGAACACGCACTGGGGGGATGTCTTGCGCGTGCGAAACATCGCCAGAACTCCGATGCCAGCTCAGTGCTGGTCGTGGTCGATTTGGCGCCGCAGAACGGCCAACAATCGACCACAACCACTACCAGCGCGTTTCCCCGCGGGGCCCTCCCGAAGAATCGACTCAAATGCGGTTCTGTGGCTCTTTCTTGTGCCGGGACTTTTTCTGGACGCTGTCAAAAATCAAACTATGGTGGGGGCATTGGACAAGGACCCTTAGATAAGGAATCCAGGGTCTGGAGGCCGGTGGAACTCCAATCGAGGCTTGGCCATGGACATGACCGCCGCCCTCATCAAATAAGGAATCCTCCAGGGTCTGCAGCCTCCTGGGCACATTCCTTTATCAACGCCCCACCGTATTTCTTCGAGAGCCCGGCCATGCCCAAGGTCCGTGTTGGCCTGATGTGTCCGCGCTGGACTTGACAAGAACTTGGCACACGGCGTGCCCCCGTGCTGCGCTATGGCCCGTCTCTCTTGCTCTCGGGCTGGCTGGGGCTGTCTCGGGCACGCGGAAGCCAGGAGGGGCGGCACGGCGCAAGCCAGAGAGACAGCCTAAGAAACAAGCGGGTCAGTCCGCAGGCGACGAGGAGGAGGAGGAGAGGAGGAGGAGGAGGAGGAGGAGGAGGGGAGGAGGAGAGCGAGGGGAAAATGTGGGCACAAGGTTGGCGAGGAAGGCGCCGGAGGCGGCAGAACAAGACAGCTGTGCACAATCAGCATTGGACCAAGCAGATCGGCAGGGAGGGGCAGAGGGAGGAAGCAGTGGGGAGAAGTTGGGAAGGTGAGAAGAGGGAGGGTAAAGGATGCGACCGTCTGGACAATCGGTTAACCCTCTGACGCCCCCCCCCCCCAATGTCCGAAAAGATCTGGCGTTCGCGGCACTGCCAGACTTCTCTCGCTCCTGAGGCAACCCGCTGCCCAATCGGTCGCCGTAGTTTGGAACGCGAAGCCGTGACCGAGAAATCGTGCTGCAAAGACCGTGGGTTGATGTTAGCCGTTAGCCTCCTTCGTCCAATCGGCCGCCGTGGTTTGGAACGCGAATCCATGACATAGAATTTGTGCTGCAAAGACCCTGGGTTGATGTCAGCCGTTCGCCTCTATCGTCTAATCGGTCGCCGTGGTTTGGAACGCGAGCCCATGACCAAGAAATCGTGCTGCAAAGACCCTGGGTTGATGTTAGCCGTTAGCATCCTTCGTCCGCTGGCCACCCCTCTACCGAAGCAGCGGATACCCCCCCCCCCGGCGCGAGCCTGCACCTCGGCGGACCTGCGGCTGGCGGCGGCGGCAACCTCGCTGCGCAGGGACTCGAGCTCCTGGGGCCGCCAGTCTCCCCCGTCCCCGCTTGCAGGTCCCGCATTGCAGAAGTCAGTCATCAGCGGTGCGAGCGTCGAGCTCAAAAAAGTCCTCCTCCTCCTCCACCTCCTCCTCCTCCTCCTCCGCCTCCTCCTCCTCCTTCTCCTCCTCCTCCTCGTCCTCCTCCTCCTCCCCCTCCTTCCCCTCCTCCTCCTCCTCCCCCTCCTCCTCCTACTTTCCTTGTCCTTATAGATAACTCCTCCATGTCGCACCCCGAGCCCAGTTTTTAGGGCGGGCCGGGCGTTTCGCTTGAGACTTCCTCACCATCTATGACTCTGAAGCTGAAAAAGTGGCAGCAGCTTCACAGATGGAGGGCGGATGGTTTTCGAAATGTGGCTCTCGCCTTAGCACCGCGCACATTCGTTCTAACATATGCAAGAGTTTCACTGATTGAGGGCGGTTCCTTTTCAAACTGTGGCTCGCGCCTCAGCGCCGCGCACATTCGTTTTTCAAACTTTGCAAGACTTTCACGGATTGAGGGCGGGTCGTTTTCAAGCTGTGGCTCTCGCCTTAGCGCCGCGCACATTCGTTTTAAACATGTGCAAGGGCTTCACGGATTGAGGGCGGCTCCTTTTCAAAATGTGGCTCTCGCCTTCGAGCCGCGCACATTCGTGTTTCAACTTCGCAAGGATTTCACGGATTCCTATAATCAACGTGCCAGAACTGGTGTTTCGGAAGGATTCAGGACTATGCGGGCGCAACAGTTATGTTGGTTCGCTTTGTTGAAGTCCCCAAAATGGCGTTCTGGCACGATTCTAGATCGTGAAGACGCAACAGTCAAGTTGACACGTGGCGTTGAAACACCGAGAACACTGTTTTGGCACGCTTCAGGATCTTCAAACCTGTTGTCTTCCAACGAGGCAGTTCCCTCAATGGAAATGAACCGTCGTAGGGGCCTATGAAAAGGAAGCTTGGAGGGAGGGTTAATTCACACATCGTTGATGACTCTTGGGTTTCCACTGGTCCTCCTCCTCCTCCTCCTCCTCCTCCTCCTCCTCCTCCTGCTCGTCCTCCTCCTCCTCCTCCTGGTCCTCCTCCTCCTCCCTGCATGGATCCAAAACTGCCCGAGGTCAGTTCCACCCGCGTGCCAGCTCCTGCGGAGGCGGTCCCCCGAGAGGGGCCGGCGGGGCACCGGGAGAGAAAAAACCGCAGCAGCGCGCTGCAAGAGGCGAGGTAGGGCGCAGCAGCCGTCGGGGGGCGAGGCGGGGCCGAGTAGCTTTCGTTCCCCGTGGGTATCGGCCGCCCCGAGGTGGGTCAAAACTGCTGTGGCTGCCCCACTTGTTCCCCTCCGGACAGGCTGGGGTCGTTCGATTTTAAGAACAGACCTCCAATCGACTCCCACCCTGGATACCGCGGCCGCCAAAACCCAAATTGTCCCGAGTGTCCCGGTTATCCCGCCTCGCGCCCTCGACAAATACCGCGGCCGCCAGACCTCAAGTTGTCCCGAGTGTCCCGGCCATCCCGCCTCGCGCCCTCGACAAACACGACAGAACACACCCAGCATACCGCGGCCGCCAAACCCCAAGTTGTCCCGAGAGTCCCGGTTATCCTGCCTATCGCCCTCGACAACCACGACAGTACACAATCTGACACAACAGAACATGACAGAACAGAGCAAGAGCATGACAGAACATGGCAGAACATAACATACCAATAGCATGACAAAATAAAGGACACCAGCATATCACATAACATACCAGAGCAGAACATGACAGAACAGAAAACGACATAACACAACATCATAGAAAATAACCTAGCACAATAGCGACGAACACGCCAGTACACAACGTGTCAAACCATAATATAACAAAACATAACACGGGCATGCCATAACATGACAGAGCATAACATGGCAATACCATATCAGCAAATATCATGATATACCATCACATAACACATCAGATCATAGCATGGTAGATCAGAAGGCGACATAACACAACATAACATAGCATAGCAAAGGAAAACACATGAGACACCTTGGCAAAACATCCCACAGCATTGCACTTCATCTCAGGACAATTCATAACACGACAGTGCAGCATATCGCCAAATACTAGCATGTCAGGTCAGAATAAATTATACTGCGCCGAGACGTCCCCAAACACAACACTGAGCATACCAGAGCATAGCATGATAGAGCAGAAGACGAACACACAACATATCATGATATAACCGAGCAGTCCTTAACACACTATGGCAGGACGACTCAAATCATGGCACAGTATCACATCGGCAGCAGAGAATAGCAAAAAAAACTAGCAGAACAGATCATAACATAATATACTGAGCCGAGCCGTCAACAGCATCACAGAACAGAGCATACTATCACAGAATCTGTCAGCATGTCATGCAATAACATAGCGCCGCAACGCAGATCATACCATAACATATCCAACCATATGGTGACATTTATGAGCATAACATACCATATTCGACCAGAAGAGAAACATATAGGTGAAGAGGGGCATCACAACAGACCACGCATCTGACGTCACAGGAGTCACGACGTCACGCCAGCCCGTCGACAACAAAAGAAGACGTAATAGAGCATGACACGAAAGATCGTTACTACATGGAACACGGTTGAACCGTTTTTGAATACAGAAACGGCAGTCGTGCAGTAGAGGAGGGAGCACCACGACAGAACAGGACATAGCATAACATATTAACATATTAGATCATTCTTTACTATATTAAGCCGAGCCGGCAACACCATCACAGAACATAGCATACCATAACATAAGCTGAGAGAACAGATCATGCCCTAACGTGGTGCCAAAGGGCAGAGTAGAACATAACGTACCAAAGCATACTCAGGCAGAGGCGTGCATGACAGAGTATACTTTCATGAATGAGATAACGGAAGGGCAGAGGGATATCGTAACACAATACACAGTACGGACATGTTGGTCAGCGTCGCCACAGGAATCAAGAGCCACATCATCAAGCGATACGACGATGTCTCTAGCGTGACAGGCGTCACGACGTCACGCCGGCCCGTCGATATCATAACATAAGAGAGCACAGCGTCACACTCTACATCGGGGCGGGGCATAACCCTACCACATACACGCACACACTTTAGCACAACATCACGTATACAGTAGCCACATCTCGACGGTGTCGCCCAGGCGTCACGAGGTCACGCCGGAACTGGACATAATAGAGCATAACATGTCAGAATGGTACTCATGGAATACTGTCGAACGCCTTTGAATACAGCAACGGCAATGGTGGAGAGAAATATCACGGCAGAACAGGCCGTCACATGACACAGCAATACAGAACATAACCTAACACGACAGCAGAGCATATCGGCATTGGGACAGGATCGAATCGAACATAACGCAGCACAGTATCACGTATACGCCTGCTACCACTGCACAACGTCTTCCTGTTTCTCGCCCTGCACGTCAGTCGTGCCGAGGTACTTTCATTGGAAGGTCCACTTCGTTGTCTGTCCAGCTTCACCCCGCAATCATCGTCGCGCCACTCCACCTCCCCATCCTCTTCTTCTCCTTCTTCTTCTTCGTCGTCTTCCTCTCCTCCTCCTCCTCCTCCTCCTCCTCCTCCTCCTCCTCCTCCTCCTCCTCTCTCACCACGCGCCCCCACCCATCCCCCCTCCTCCTCCTCCTCCCTCCTCCTCCTTCGCCTCCACCTATCCTCCGCCTCCATCCCTTCCCCTACCCTTTTGCTCCTCTGCCTTGCCGCCCTCCTACTCCTCCCTCTCCCAAATTGCTCTTCCTTCCATCTCGCCCCCCTGTGTTCTCCTTGCTTCCCCCTTCTCCCCGCGTCTCCTCCTCCTCCTCCGCTCCCTCCTCTTCCCCGCCGCCCTACCCACCTCCTTACGCGGAGCAGGAGGCGGATCATCGCAGATCGACGCATCTACCGACTCGAAGACGAAGAACAGGGCGAGGAGGAGGGAACGGAGGAGGAGGAGGGGGAGGAACGAGGGCGACGAGGAGGAACAGGAGGAGGAAGGAGAGGTCCGCCTCACCTCCTTTTTCCTCCTCCTCCTCCTCCTCCTCGTCCTTCGTCGTCCGTCTCCTCCTCGTGGCGCTGCTGCTGTTCCTCCTCTTCCTCTTGCCAGAGGTTGATACTATCTCAGAACAAGTTTTGGGGTATAGCGGAAAGCGTTTTGGGTTTGGCAATGTCCTCGTCAGGGGCCTTGGGGTTGTTAGAATTCTGAGAGCATCATCTTGCGACCTGGCCCGGCCGCCGCGCTGGCCGACGCCGCTGGGCACTCCGCGCGTCCTTCCAGTTAGGCGCGCGCACCGCTGGGACCAAACGCCGAAGGTTTCAGTGGGGATCGCTCGAAACAACATATTTGTTTTGCTTGTTACTTTTCCATGTTGTAAAACACATGTTGTTGCTTGGGATTCCTCACTTGTGCTCGCGCCGCCTCCGCCAGCCTTCCGCCGGCGATAACGCCCGATACGTGCCCCGCTGGGTGCACCCCCCTCCGGAGCTGGAGAAAAACAGCTCCCGTGCCGCTTGCAGGGGGGCACAAACACGGCCACGTCAGAGCTGGGCCCCGAGGGAGCTGCTGAAGTGCCACTGGAGCCGCCAGGGCACTGACCTGACCAATCGGCCCACGGGGACGGGTCCTTCGTCCCGAGTCATTCCTTGACGGCCTGGGGCTCGGTGAGGGCCTCAGACGTCCCTGGGGTCCACTGGGGACTCCTTGAGACCTCCCCGGGACCTGGAGGTCCCATGAAGGCACCACAAAGCCACTCGTGGGGGCTCCTTGAGGTGCCCGGGCAAATCCCACAGGCTCCAGGATGTCTCTGAGGGGCCCTGGGAGAGTCCGACGGACGCCCCTGAGAAGCCACTGAAGACCCAGACCGAACAAACCACTTGGGTTTTCTGAGATGCCCCTGAACGCCCCCTGGAGGCCCCTGTGCAGGAGTCAAATAGTCAAATGTCGATCCCTGGATATAGGACGCCTCACCCTTGATCAGGGGTCACAAATCGATCCCTGGACCTCTCCTCGGGCGCGTTCTGCCCAAACTTTCGAAGCGGGTCCAACCGTGGCCACGAGGGCGCCCCAGGGCTGTCGGAACCCTCCAGAGAGCAAGCCCGACCCTCTGGAAAGGGACCTCGAACCTCGAACCTCGAACCTCGAACCTCGAACCCTCCAGAGAGCAAGCCCGACCCTCGAACCTCGAACCTCTGGAAAGGGACCCGCACGCCCACGCGCGAGGAGGCGGGCGGCGCCGCCGCGAGAGACGCCCCCGAGCGAGGCCGCGGCGGTGCGCACGCGCGGGCGCCCCCCGCGTCCTGCACCGCGCGAGCCTGCTCCTCGGCGGACCGGCGGGCGGCGGCGGCCGCGGCCGCCGCCTCGCCGCGCAGGGCCTCGAGCTCCTGGGCGCCCGCCCTTCGCGCCGCCCCCCCCCGTGCACCAAGGAGGCGGCTCCAGCCTGCAGCCGTCGTGCCGGCGTGAGAGAGGAACGCCAGGGCAAGGAAGGGGCTCCGTCTCCTGCCCAGGGCGAGCCGCGGCCACGAACAGGCTCCCTGGCCTGGAGACCTCAGGAGAGGCGCGAAGACCGGGGCCCCTCCGGAGCCCAAAGTGCACAGCAGGCGGCGGCCCCGGCCTTCCAGTGGAGCCTCACCCGCGAGGAGGGCGCAGGACTCTCCATGGGGCAACGTGGCTCCCGCCCGTTGGAACTCTCTGCCCGGCGGAACGCGAGGAGGACGTGGGGCACACAGGGGCACAGAGGGGCACCCTTGCTTTGGGAAGGGCTCCGGCTGCACCCCCTCCCGAGCAGAAGAGGGACCCCTCCCCACCCCTCCGCCCTCGGCGAGCCTGCTCCTCGGCGGGCCTGCGGGCGGCGGCGGCGGCCGCCTCGCTGCGCAGGGACTCCAGCTCCTGGGATGCCGGTCGCACCCGTGCCCTGTGCCCTCCTGCCAGCGCCCTTGCACAAACTCGGAGATCGAGATCGACAGGCCACGCCGATCCTCCTCCTCCTCCTCCTCCTCCTCCTCCTCCTCCTCCTCGAACGTCGATGCGTTGGCCGCCACTGGGGGCACTGAGTGGAGTGTCCTCGGGCCCTCCAGGGCCCTCGATATCGAATCTTGCAAACATGCGTCGCACCCCGCAGTTGCCGAGAAGAGCGAGGGGGCGGGGGCGGGGTTGGATCGCAAGTGAATCGCGGGTGGGTTCCGTGTGGGTCGCGGGGTGGGTCGCAGGGTTGGTCGCGGGGGGGGCCGCGGGTGGTGCGCGGGGGGGGGGCGGGCGACGACGACAACAAGCAGAATCCGGGCCACGGAACCCCACTTCACCCACGCACCCAGGGATGGTGGTAAGACCGTTCGGCCCCCTCTGTGGGGCATTCTACAAGCTCAGAGGCCCCGTGGCCGCTCTTTCCCGGGGCCTCCCGCGGACCCTGTTCTGGAGCGTGTCGCGGGACCTCCTCCCGGAAGCCAGGAGGGCCCCACGACGGGCCGAGAGGGTCCCAAGAGGCCTCCGAGAGATGGCCCCAAGGGGGCCTCGATGCCAAGAGCGCTCCGAGACGGCCGATCGCGACCTCAGGACGGCCCAAGAGGTGCCCAAGACGCGCCCAGAGGGCTCCAAGAGGACCCCCCAGAGGGTCTATAGCCCGAGACAGCCACAGAGGCCCCAACGATCTCCCGAAGACGGCCCAAGAGGCCCCCAAGAGGCCCCCAAGACGGCCCAGGGCCCCAAGACGGCCCTTCCCCCAGAGGTGGCCCCCGAGACCGAAGGCCACCGGGTAGCCCTGCATACTGCATCGCTCCAGACTCGGCTCTCGCTCCGGCGCCCCTTTGCACCGGCAGCCGCGGCTTGGCACGCGGCCCCAGGCGCAGGCATCGAATCGCCCCCCTGCCGCCGGCCCCCCCCCCTCCCCCCCCGCCAGAAGCAGCAGCAGAGAGCTCCCCCTCCGCCCTCGGCGAGCCTGCAGCTCGGCGGGCCTGCGGCCAGCGGCCGCGGACGCCTCGCTGCGCAGGGCCTCGAGCTCCTGCGCCGTCGCGGCCCCCCTGCCCCTCTGCTCTTCTTCGCTGTCCTGCTATATACAACGGCCTCTCGAGTCGCAGCGGCCGGCCGGCGCACGGCATCCAGCGACCATCCTTCGCCAGCCGTTCTCCCAGAGGTCCAGCTTCAACCCCGCCTAGCTACCCTCGGCCCTCACGCATCATTCGCCGCGCATTCCTGACTGCCCGATGCCGACCAACCCCTCCCGGTCATCGCTGCTCCGTGCGCGCTACCCAGCAAACAATCAGCTTCCAGAACGGACGGACCATGACTCGTCATCCGACCTCCACCTGAAATCCGACCTCGGGCGTGGACCAGTCTGGAGCCCAGCTCTCCGAGCCGAGCCCATGACCAGGAGGTCCCTTGCCGGTGGCCACACTGGTACACCCGCGCCCTTCGGGGACAGAAGGCGCACTGACCCGCTACAGACGGCATGGGCGGCCTCCTGCTCTGCCTCAGCGGCATCCGTAAGTATCCCCTGTTTCCTCCTCCTCCTCCTCGTATTCTTACCAGCTCCTGCGTGCGAAACTCCGATGCCCAAGCTGCGCGCTCATAAGCCGCTAAAGACAATCGCTTCTGCAATGCCATTGCTGCGACAGGCACTGCCCCGTCCGGTACTGCTCTTTCGACAAGGTCTCGCAGCCCGTCCCCGATCTTGTACGCTTGATTCCTTGTGCATGGTGGGTGCTGCCAGCTCTTGGAGATCCCTAGACGTCCCCGGAAGGCCACTAGAAGCCCACTGTGTGTTGATCGCGACCCCCCATGGACATGGAGATTCCATGAGTCTTGAGAGTGCGTCTTAACAGTGAGTTAAGTCAACAGCGTAGTGTCGATAGCGTCGTGTCAACGGCGTAGTGTCAAAAGCACAGTGCCAACAGCGTAGTGTCAACAGCGTAGTGTCAACAGCGGAATGTCAACCAACGGCGTAACAACAGCATATTGTCAACAGCGTGGTGTCAACAGCGTAGTGTCAACAGCGCACTGTCAACCAACAGCGTACTGTCGACAGCGTGTGGCCAGCTGCGCGAACCAACGGCATGGCGTGAAATCTGAGCGCAACGTCGACCAACACCGTGATGTCAACAGCGTAGTGTCAACAGCGTAGTGCCAACCAACAGAGTAACCTACAGCAACGTAAACTGAACCAGCAACGTACTCTCAAGCAACAGTGCGCCGTGTGAGTAGTATTGTCAACAACCAACAGCGTACTGTCAACAGCGCAGTGCCAACAGCGTACCGTCAACAGTGTAGTGCCAACAGCGTAGTGTCAATCAACTGCGTTACCTCAACCAACGTAGCCTGAATCAAAAACGTACTGTCAAACAACAGTGCACCGTGCGAGAAGCATTGTCAACAACCAACAGCATACTGTCAACAACGCAGGTGTCAAACAGCGTAGTGCCAACAGCGTAGTGTCAACAGCGTAATGTCAACCAACAGAGTAACCGCAAGCAACGTAGCCTGAACCAGCAGCAACGTACTGTCAAGCAACAGTGCGCCGTGTGAGTACTATTGTCAACAACCAACAGCGTACTGTCAACTGCGCAGGTGTCAACAGCGCAGGTGTCGACAGTGTAGTGTCAACAGCGTAGTGCCAACCAACAACGTAACCTCAAGCAACGAAGCCTGAACCAGCAGCGCAATGTCAAGCAACAGTGCACTTTGTGAGTAGCATTGTCAACAATCAACAGCGTACTCTCAACAGCGCAGTGTTGACAATGCGACCACCAACGACGTGGCTTAAATTCGAAGATTTGCACAAAACTCGTTCTGGATAGACCTGAAAAAACGTCTCATAGAAAATCGGCCATGGCAAGACATCTCACATCTGATCCCGTCTCCCATTCAAAAAATGCATCATTGCTTCAGAAAATGTATGTCATGAAAAGTTGTCTCTCGTAACAAATCGTCTCTCGTCTTGAAACCGTCTCTGCTTAAATCGGTATATAATTTTCTGGTTTGAGAAAACGCCTCTGGTAAGAAGTCGTCTCCCATAAGAACTCCTAGAAATAAGGATCGTCTTTCATGGGAAGCCGTCTGTCATGAGAAACCGTCTCTGATGAGAAACTTATCTCTCGAGACGTTTATCTGAAAACCTATCTAATTTAGCACAATATACGATTCGGGACAAGAATGACAAATCATCTGTCACGAACAGTCGCCTCTCATGAGAAGTCTGGAGATCATTTACTTTGAAACAGTAGCATCGGTGTTAATCGTGCAGCGACGTGTTCCCTCATACCAAGAAACAACCTCGGAATAATAAATGTCGAGGACATGCGGTCACCGGAAAACAACGCGATCATCGAGAACGCCGCTTGACTGGTAGCGTCAACCAACAACGTAGTGTCAACAGCGTAGTGTCAACAGCGTGATGTCAACGGCGCGACGTTGACGACGCTCGCTCAATGCTCAGAGCCGCGATCGTCGAAAACGCCGCGCTAATATTAATGTCGACAAACAGCGTCGTGTCAACAGCGTAGTGTCAACAGCGCAGTGTCAACGTTACGTAGTGTCAGCGGCGTAGTGTCAACAGCGTAGTGCCAACAGCGTAGGTGTCAACCAACAGCGTAGCTCCAACCAACAGCGTAGCATCAATCAACAGCGCAGCGTGCACCATCAGCGTGTTGTCAACAGCGCATCGTCGACAACGTAACCACCAAAAGGGCAGCTTGCATTCGGCGATTTTCCACCAAACTCGTTCTGGGCAGCTCTGGGCGCCACGGGCAGCAGCGCAGCGTCAACAGCGCAATCGTGCACTCGATGTTCGGCTCAGCCAGCCAGCCACCGTAGAACCCGTCCGCATCCCAGAATCTTCCCAAACCCGAAAAGACTGACGATGACAACGACTGAAGACGACGACGCCTGACGACGACGACGACGACGACGACAAGGACGAGATTCAGCGTGATGTCAACAGCGCAGTGTCAAATATTCAGGAGCGCAGAACCTCTGCTCTTCATTCCAACACCGCCTCCGGATGCCAACAAAGTACTGTCAACAGTGTTGTGTCAGATATTAGCAGCGAAAAGCATCTCCTCTCAATGCCAACAGCGCCTCTTAATGCCAACAACGTAATGTCAACAGCGTAGTGTCACAGATTGGAATCGTACAGCCTCTCCTCTTAATGCCAACAACGTAGCGTCAACAGTGTAGTGATAATTCACTCGGCATTACGTAGTGTCAGCAGCGTAGTGTCGACCAACAGCGTAGCTTCAACCAACAGCGTAGCATCAATCAGCAGCGTAGCGTGAACCAACAGCGTGTTGTCAACAGCGCATCATCGACAACGTGACCACCAACAAGGCAGCTTGGATTCGGCGATGTTCCATCAAACTCGTTCTGGGCAGCTCTGGGCGCCACGGGCAGCAGCGCAGTGTCAACAGCGCAATCGTGCACTCGATGTTCGGCTCAGCCAGCCAGCCACCGTGGAACCCCTCCGCAACCCAGAATCTTCCCCAACCCGAAAACACTGATGATGACAACGGCTGACGACGACGACGCCTGACGACGACGACGACGACGACGAAGACGACGACGACAAGGACGAGATTCAGCGTGATGTCAACAGCGCAGTGTCAGAGATTCAGGAGCGCAGAACCTCTCCTCTGAATGCCAACACCGCCTCCAAATGCCAACAAAGTAGTGTCAACAGCGCAGCGTCAGAGATTAGCAGCGTAAAGCATCTCCTCTCAATGCCAACAGCGCCTCTTAATGCCAACAATGTCGTGTCAACAGCGCAGTGTCACAGATTAGAAGCGTACACTCTCTCCTCTGAATGCCAACAAGGTAGTGCCAACAGCGTAGTGTTAATTCACCTGGCGTTACGTAGTGTCAACAGCGTAGTGTTAACTCACTGCCAAAATCTTCAAGTCACTGTTAAGAGATACCTTCACCCCATGAAGGCACCCGAGGCCACCCATGGGGACTCCTCGAGGTGCCTGCTGGACAAGCCCTGGACCGACGTCGTGCCTTGCTCACGACGTCGACCCCCAGAGGTCTCGACCTCTTCCCCAGGCCCCCCCAGGAGTCCCGACCCATTCCCCGGGACCGGTGTTTCATCCTGAGTGGTTCTTTGACAATCCTGGGGCCCCGCGAGGTCCCCGAGAGGCTGAAAAGAGCACAGGAAAGCATCAACAACCCCGTCGTGACGTTTGCTCAGGACGCGAGAGGGTCTGGCTTCGCCGCGCGAGGAGGCGGGCGACGCCGCCGCGAGAGACGCCCCCGAGCGAGGCCTCGGCGGTGCGCACGCGCGGGCGCGCCCCGCGTCCTGCACCGCGCGAGCCTGCTCCTCGGCGGACCGGCGGGCGGCGGCGGCCGCGGCCGCCGCCTCGCCGCGCAGGGCCTCGAGCTCCTGGGCGCCCGCCCTTCGCGCCGCCCCCCCCCGTGCACCAAGGAGGCGGCTCCAGCCTGCAGCCGTCGTGCCGGCGTGAGAGAGGAACGCCAGGGCAAGGCAAGGAAGGGGCTCCGTCTCCTGCCCAGGGCGAGCCGCGGCCACGAACAGGCTCCCTGGCCTGGAGACCTGAGGAGAGGCGCGAAGACCGGGGCCCCTCCGGAGCCCAAAGTGCACAGCAGGCGGCGGCCCCGGCCTTCCAGTGGAGCCTCACCCGCGAGGAGGGCGCAGGACTCTCCATGGGGCAACGTGGCTCCCGCCCGTTGGAACTCTCTGCCCGGCGGAACGCGAGGAGGACGTGGGGCACACAGGGGCACAGAGGGGCACCCTTGCTTTGGGAAGGGCTCCGGCTGCACCCCCTCCCGAGCAGAAGAGGGACCCCTCCCCACCCCTCCGCCCTCGGCGAGCCTGCGCCTCGGCGGGCCTGCGGGCGGCGGCGGCGGCCGCCTCGCTGCGCAGGGACTCCAGCTCCTGGGATGCCGGTCGCACCCGTGCCCTGTGCCCTCCTGCCAGCGCCCTTGCACAAACTCGGAGATCGAGATCGACAGGCCACGCCGATCCTCCTCCTCCTCCTCCTCCTCCTCCTCCTCCTCCTCCTCCTCCTCGAACGTCGATGCGTTGGCCGCCACTGGAGGCACTGAGTGCAGTGTCCTCGGCCCCTCCAGAGCCCTCGATATCGAATCTTGCAAACATGCGTCGCACCCCGCAGCTGCCGAGAAGAGCGAGGGGGCGGGGGCGCGGGGTTGGGTCGCAGGTGGGTCGCGGGTGGGTCCCGTGTGGGTCGCGGGGTGGGTCGCAGGGTTGGTCGCGGGGGGGGCCGCGGTCGGTGCGCGGGGGGGGGGGGGGCGACGACGACAACAAGCAGAATCCGGGCCACGGAACCCCACTTCACCCACGCACCCAGGGATGGTGGCAAGACCGTTCGGCCCCCTCTGTGGGGCATTCTACAGGCTCAGAGGCCCCGTGGCCGCTCTTTCCCGGGGCCTCCCGCGGACCCTGTTCTGGAGCGTGTCGCGGGACCTCCTCCCGGAAGCCAGGAGGGCTCCAAGACGGGCCGAGAGGGTCCCAAGAGGCCTCCGAGAGATGGCCCCAAGGGGGCCTCGATGCCAAGAGCGCTCCGAGACGGCCTATCGCGACCTCAGGACGGCCCAAGAGGCGCCCAAGACGCGCCCAGAGGGCTCCAAGAGGACCCCCCAGAGGGTCTATAGCCCGAGACAGCCACAGAGGCCCCAACGATCTCCCGAAGACGGCCCAAGAGGCCCCCAAGAGGCCCCCAAGACGGCCCAGGGCCCCAAGACGGCCCTTCCCCCAGAGGTGGCCCCCGAGACCGAAGGCCACCGGGTAGCCCTGCATACTGCATCGCTCCAGACTCGGCTCTCGCTCCGGCGCCCCTTTGCACCGGCAGCCGCGGCTTGGCACGCGGCCCCAGGCGCAGGCATCGAATCGCCCCCCTGCCGCCGGCCCCCCCCCTCCCCCCCCGCCAGAAGCAGCAGCAGAGAGCCCCCCCTCCGCCCTCGGCGAGCCTGCAGCTCGGCGGGCCTGCGGCCAGCGGCCGCGGACGCCTCGCTGCGCAGGGCCTCGAGCTCCTGCGCCGTCGCGGCCCCCCTGCCCCTCTGCTCTTCTTCGCTGTCCTGCTATATACAACGGCCTCTCGAGTCGCAGCGGCCGGCCGGCGCACGGCATCCAGCGACCATCCTTCGCCAGCCGTTCTCCCAGAGGTCCAGCTTCAACCCCGCCTAGCTACCCTCGGCCCTCACGCATCATTCGCCGCGCATTCCTGACTGCCCGATGCCGACCAACCCCTCCCGGTCATCGCTGCTCCGTGCGCGCTACCCAGCAAACAATCAGCTTCCAGAACGGACGGACCATGACTCGTCATCCGACCTCCACCTGAAATCCGACCTCGGGCGTGGACCAGTCTGGAGCCCAGCTCTCCGAGCCGAGCCCATGACCAGGAGGTCCTTTGCCGGTGGCCACACTGGTACACCCGCGCCCTTCGGGGACAGAAGGCGCACTGACCCGCTGCAGACGGCATGGGCGGCCTCCTGCTCTGCCTCAGCGGCATCCGTAAGTATCCCCTGTTTCCTCCTCCTCCTCCTCCTCGTATTCTTACCAGCTCCTGCGTGCGAAACTCCGATGCCCAAGCTGCGCGCTCATAAGCCGCTAAAGACAATCGCTTCTGCAATGCCATTGCTGCGACAGGCACTGCCCCGTCCGTTACTGCTTTCGACCAGGTCTCGCAGCCCGTCCCCGACCTTGTACGCTTGATTCCTTGTGCATGGTGGGTGCTGCCAGCTCCTGGAGATCCCTAGACGTCCCAAGAACGCCACTGGAAGTCCACTGGGAGCTGATCGCGAACCCCATGGACATGGAGATCCGATGAGTCATCAGAGTGCGTCTTAACAGTTAGTTAAGTCCACAGTGTAGTGTCGATAGCGTCGTGTCAACGGCGTAGTGTCAAAAGCGTAGTGCAAACAGCGTAGTGCCAACAGCGTAGTGTCAACAGCGGAATGTCATCCAACGGCGTAACAACAGCATAATGTCAACAGCGTGGTGTCAACAGCGTAGGGTCAACAGCGCACTGTCAACCCACAGCGTACTGTCGACAGCGTGTGGCCAGCTGCGCGAACCAACGGCATGGCGTGAACTCTGAGCGCACCGTCGACCAACACCGTAATGTCAACAGCGTAGTGTCAACAGCGTAGTGTCAACCAACAGAGTAACCTCCAGCAACGTAGCCTGAACCAGCAACGTACTGTCAAGCAACAGTGCACCGTGTGAGTAGTACTGTCAGCAGATAACTGCGTACTGTCAACAGCGCAGTGCCAACAGCGTAGCGTCAACAGCATAGTGCCAACAGCGTAGTGTCAATCAACAGCGTTACCTCAACCAACGTAGCCTGAATCAAAAACTTACTGTCAAACAACAGTGCACCGTGCGAGAAGCATTGTCAACAACCAACAGCGTACTGTCAACAACGCAGGTGTCAACAGCGTAGTGCCAACAGCGTAGTGTCGACAGCGTAATGTCAACCAACACAGTAACCACAAGCAACGTAGCCTGAACCAGCAACGTACCCTCAAGCAACAGTGCGCCGTGTGAGTAGTATTGTCAACAACCAACAGCATACTGTCAACTGCGCAGGTGTCAACAGCGCAGGTGTCAACAGCGTAGTGCCAACCAACAGCGTAAGCTCAGGCAACGAAGCCTGAAACAGCAGCGCAATGTCAAGCAACAGCGCACTGTGTGAGTAGCATTGTCAACAATCAACAGCGTACTCTGAACAGCGCAGTGTTGACAATGCGACCAGCAAGGACGCGGCTTCAATTCGACGATGTTCACAAAACTCGTTCTGGACAGACCTGAAAACAAACGTCTCATACAAAATCTGTCATGACAAGATACCTCACATCTGATCCCTTCTCCCATTCAAAAAAATACACCATTGTGTCAGAAATAATGTATGTCATGGAAAACTGTCACTCGTAACAAATCGTCTCTCGTCTTAAAACCGTCTCTGCTGAAATCCGTATATCATTTTCTGTTTTGAGACGGCGCCTCTTGTAAGAAGTCGTCTCCCATAAGAGCTCCTTCAAACAAGGGTCGTCTTTCATGGGAAGCCGTCTGTCATGAGAAACCGTCTCCGATGAGAAACTTATCTCTCGAGACGTTTATCTGAAAATGTATTTCATTTAGGACAACCTACGAATCGGAACAAGCATGACAAATCATCTGTCACGAACAGTCGCCTCTCATAAGAAGTCTGGAGATAATGTTCTTTGGCTCTGAAACAGTAGCTCCGGTATTAATCGTGCAGCTCTGTGTTCCCTCATACCAAGAAACAACTTCGGAATGATAAGTGTCGAGGACATGCGGTCACCGGAAAACAACGCGATCATCGAGAACGCTGCTTGACTGGTAGTGTCAACCAACAACGTAGTGTCAACAGCGTAGTGTCAACAACGTAATGTCAACGGCGCGACGTTGACGACGCTCGCTCAATGCTTAGAGCCGCGATCGTCGAAAACGCCGCGCGAATATTAATGTCGACAAACAACGTCGTGTCAACAGCGTAGTGTCAACAGCGCAGTGTCAACGTTACGTAGTGTCAGCAGCGTAGTATCAACAGCGTATTGCCAACAGCATAGTGTCAACCAACAGAGTAGCTTCAACAAACAGCGTAGCATCAATCAGCAGCGTAGCGTGAACCAACAGCGTGTTGTCAACAGCGCATCATCGACAACGTGACCACCAACAAGGCAGCTTGGATTCGGCGATTTTCCACCAAACTCGTTCTGGGCAGCTCTGGGCGCCACGGGCAGCAGCGCAGTGTCAACAGCGCAATCGTGCACTCGATGTTCGGCTCAGCCAACCAGCCACCGTAGAACCCCTCCGCAACCCAGAATGTTCCCAAAACCGAAAAGACTGACGATGACAACGACTGAAGACGACGACGCCTGACGACGACGACGACGACGACGACGACAAGGACGATATTCAGCGTAGTATCAACAGCGCAGCGTCAGAGATTTAGGAACGCAGAACCTCTCCTCTGAATGCCAACACCGCCTCCGAATGCCAACAAATAACGGTCAACATTCTTGTGTCAGATACTAGCAGCGAAAAGCATCTCCTGTCAATGCCAACAGCGCCTCTTAATGCCAACAACGTGATGTCCACAGCGCAATGCCACATATTAGAAGCGTACAGTCTCTCTTCTTAATGCCAACAACGTAGTGTCAGCAGCGTAGTGTTAATTCACTCGGCGTTACGTAGTGTCAACAGCGTAGACACTGTTAAAATCTTTAAGTCACTGTTAAGAGACCCCTTCACCTCATGAAGGCACCCCGAGGCCACTCATGGGGGCTCCTCGAGGTGCCTGCTGGACAAGTCCTGGACCGACGTCGTGCCTTGCTCACGACCTCGACCCCCAGAGGTCTCGACCCCCAGAGGTCTCGACCTCTTCCCCGGGCACCCCCAGAGGTTTCGACCCATTCCCCGGGACCGGTGTTTCATCCTGAGTGGTTCTTTGATGACAGTCCCGGGGCCCCGCGAGGTCCCCGAGAGGCTGAAAAGAGCACAGGAAAGCATCAACAACCCCGTCGTGACGTTTGCTCAGGACGCGAGAGGGTCTGGCTTCGCCGCGCGAGGAGGCGGGCGGCGCCGCCGCGAGAGACGCCCCCGAGCGAGGCCGCGGCGGTGCGCACGCGCGGGCGCCCCCCGCGTCCTGCACCGCGCGAGCCTGCTCCTCGGCGGACTGGGGGCGGCGGCGGCCGCGGCCGCCGCCTCGCCGCGCAGGGCCTCGAGCTCCTGGGCGCCCGCCCTTCGCGCCGCCCCCCCCCCGTGCACCAAGGAGGCGGCTCCAGCCTGCAGCCGTCGTGCCGGCGTGAGAGAGGAACGCCAGGGCAAGGCAAGGAAGGGGCTCCGTCTCCTGCCCAGGGCGAGCCGCGGCCACGAACAGGCTCCCTGGCCTGGAGACCTCAGGAGAGGCGCGAAGACCGGGGCCCCTCCGGAACCCAAAGTGCACAGCAGGCGGCGGCCCCGGCCTTCCAGTGGAGCCTCACCCGCGAGGAGGGCGCAGGACTCTCCATGGGGCAACGTGGCTCCCGCCCGTTGGAACTCTCTGCCCGGCGGAACGCGAGGAGGACGTGGGGCACACAGGGGCACAGAGGGGCACCCTTGCTTTGGGAAGGGCTCCGGCTGCACCCCCTCCCGAGCAGAAGAGGGACCCCTCCCCACCCCTCCGCCCTCGGCGAGCCTGCTCCTCGGCGGGCCTGCGGGCGGCGGCGGCGGCCGCCTCGCTGCGCAGGGACTCCAGCTCCTGGGATGCCGGTCGCACCCGTGCCCTGTGCCCTCCTGCCAGCGCCCTTGCACAAACTCGGAGATCGAGATCGACAGGCCACGCCGATCCTCCTCCTCCTCCTCCTCCTCCTCCTCCTCCTCCTCCTCGAACGTCGATGCGTTGGCCGCCACTGGGGGCACTGAGTGGAGTGTCCTCGGGCCCTCCAGGGCCCTCGATATCGAATCTTGCAAACATGCGTCGCCCAGCAGTTGCCGAGAAGAGCGAGGGGGCGGGGGCGGGGTTGGGTCGCAAGTGAGTCGCGGGTGGGTTCCGTGTGGGTCGCGGGGTGGGTCGCAGGGTTGGTCGCGGGGGGGGGCGCGGGTGGTGCGCGGGGGGGGGGGGCGGGCGACGACGACAACAAGCAGAATCCGGGCCACGGAACCCCACTTCACCCACGCACCCAGGGATGGTGGTAAGACCGTTCGGCCCCCTCTGTGGGGCATTCTACAAGCTCAGAGGCCCCGTGGCCGCTCTTTCCCGGGGCCTCCCGCGGACCCAGTTCTGGAGCGTGTCGCGGGACCTCCTCCCGGAAGCCAGGAGGGCCCCAAGACGGGCCGAGAGGGTCCCAAGAGGCCTCCGAGAGATGGCCCCAAGGGGGCCTCGATGCCAAGAGCGCTCCGAGACGGCCTATAGCAACCTCAGGCCGGCCCAAGAGGCGCCCAAGACGCGCGGGCTCCTAGAGGACGCGCCCAGAGGCTTCCAAGAGGACCCCCCAGAGGGTCTATAGCCCGAGACAGCCACAGAGGCCCCAACGATCTCCCGAAGACGGCCCAAGAGGCCCCCAAGAGGCCCCCAAGACGGCCCAGGGCCCCAAGACGGCCCTTCCCCCAGAGGTGGCCCCCGAGACCGAAGGCCACCGGGTAGCCCTGCATACTGCATCGCTCCAGACTCGGCTCTCGCTCCGGCGCCCCTTTGCACCGGCAGCCGCGGCTTGGCACGCGGCCCCAGGCGCAGGCATCGAATCGCCCCCCTGCCGCCGGCCCCCCCCCTCCCCCCCCCGCCAGAAGCAGCAGCAGAGAGCCCCCCCTCCGCCCTCGGCGAGCCTGCAGCTCGGCGGGCCTGCGGCCAGCGGCCGCGGACGCCTCGCTGCGCAGGGCCTCGAGCTCCTGCGCCGTCGCGGCCCCCCTGCCCCTCTGCTCTTCTTCGCTGTCCTGCTATATACAACGGCCTCTCGAGTCGCAGCGGCCGGCCGGCGCACGGCATCCAGCGACCATCCTTCGCCAGCCGTTCTCCCAGAGGTCCAGCTTCAACCCCGCCTAGCTACCCTCGGCCCTCACGCATCATTCGCCGCGCATTCCTGACTGCCCGATGCCGACCAGCCCCTCCCGGTCATCGCTGCTCCGTGCGCGCTACCCAGCAAACAATCAGCTTCCAGAACGGACGGACCATGACTCGTCATCCGACCTCCACCTGAAATCCGACCTGGGGCGTGGACCAGTCTGGAGCCCAGCTCTCCGAACCGAGCCCATGACCAGGAGGTCCTTTGCCGGTGGCCACACTGGTACACCCGGGCCCTTCGGGGACAGAAGGCGCACTGACCCGCTACAGACGGCATGGGCGGCCTCCTGCTCTGCCTCAGCGGCATCCGTAAGTATCCCCTGTTTCCTCCTCCTCCTCGTATTCTTACCAGCTCCTGCGTGCGAAACTCCGATGCCCAAGCTGCGTGCTCATAAGCCGCTAAAGACAATCGCTTCTGCAATGCCATTGCTGCGACAGGCACTGCCCCGTCCGGTACTGCTCTTTCGACAAGGTCTCGCAGCCCGTCCCCGATCTTGTACGCTTGATTCCTTGTGCATGGTGGGTGCTGCCAGCTCTTTGAGATCCCTAGACGTCCCCGGAAGGCCACTGGAAGCCCACTGTGTGTTGATCGCGACCCCCCATGGACATGGAGATCCCATGAGTCTTGAGAGTGCGTCTTAACAGTTAGTTAAGTCCACAGTGTAGTGTCGATAGCGTCGTGTCAACGGCGTAGTGTCAAAAGCACAGTGCCAACAGCGTAGTGTCAACAGCGTAGTGTCAACAGCGGAATGTCAACCAACGGCGTAACAACAGCATATTGTCAACAGCGTGGTGTCAACAGCGTAGTGTCAACAGCGCACTGTCAACCAACAGCGTACTGTCGACAGCGTGTGGCCAGCTGCGCGAACCAACGGCATGGCGTGAAATCTGAGCGCAACGTCGACCAACACCGTGATGTCAACAGCATAGTGTCAACAGCGTAGTGCCAACCAACAGAGTAACCTACAGCAACGTAAACTGAACCAGCAACGTACTCTCAAGCAACAGTGCGCCGTGTGAGTAGTATTGTCAACAACCAACAGCGTACTGTCAACAGCGCAGTGCCAACAGCGTACCGTCAACAGTGTAGTGCCAACAGCGTAGTGTCAATCAACAGCGTTACCTCAACCAACGTAGCCTGAATCAAAAACGTACTGTCAAACAACAGTGCACCGTGCGAGAAGCATTGTCAACAGCCAACAGCATACTGTCAACAACGCAGGTGTCAACAGCGTAGTGCCAACAGCGTAGTGTCAACAGCGTAATGTCAACCAACAGAGTAACCGCAAGCAACGTAGCCTGAACCAGCAACGTACTGTCAAGCAACAGTGCGCCGTGTGAGTACTATTGTCAACAACCAACAGCATACTGTCAACTGCGCAGGTGTCAACAGCGCAGGTGTCAACAGCGTAGTGCCAACCAACAACGTAACCTCAAGCAACGAAGTCTGAACCAGCAGCGCAATGTCAAGCAACAGTGCGCTTTGTGAGTAGCATTGTCAACAATCAACAGCGTACTCTCAACAGCGCAGTGTTGACAATGCGACCACCAACGACGTGGCTTAAATTCGAAGATTTTCACAAACCTTGTTCTGGATAGACCTGAAAAAACGTCTCATAGAAAATCGGCCATGGCAAGATATCTCACATCTGATCCCGTCTCCCATTCAAAAAATGCATCATTGCTTCAGAAAATGTATGTCATGAAAAGTTGTCTCTCGTAACAAATCGTCTCTCGTCTTGAAACCGTCTCTGCTTAAATCGGTATATAATTTTCTGTTTTGAGAAAACGCCTCTGGTAAGAAGTCGTCTCCCATAAGAACTCCTAGAAATAAGGATCGTCTTTCATGGGAAGCCGTCTGTCATGAGAAACCGTCTCTGATGAGAAACTTATCTCTCGAGACGTTTATCTGAAAACCTATCTAATTCAGCACAATATACGATTCGGAACAAGAATGACAAATCATCTGTCACGAACAGTCGCCTCTCATGAGAAGTCTGGAGATCATTTACTTTGAAGCAGTAGCATCGGTGTTAATCGTGCAGCGACGTGTTCCCTCATACCAAGAAACAACCTCGGAATAATAAGTGTCGAGGACATGCGGTCACCGGAAAACAACGCGATCATCGAGAACGCCGCTTGACTGGTAGCGTCAACCAACAACGTAGTGTCAACAGCGTAGTGTCAACAGCGTGATGTCAACGGCGCGACGTTGACGACGCTCGCTCAATGCTCAGAGCCGCGATCGTCGAAAACGCCGCGCAAATATTAATGTCGACAAACAGCGTCGTGTCAACAGCGTAGTGTCAACAGCGCAGTGTCAACGTTACGTAGTGTCAGCGGCGTAGTGTCAACAGCGTAGTGCCAACAGCGTAGGTGTCAACCAACAGCGTAGCTCCAACCAACAGCGTAGCATCAATCAACAGCGCAGCGTGCACCATCAGCGTGTTGTCAACAGCGCATCGTCGACAACGTAACCACCAAAAGGGCAGCTTGCATTCGGCGATTTTCCACCAAACTCGTTCCGGGCAGCTCTGGGCGCCACGGGCAGCAGCGCAGCGTCAACAGCGCAATCGTGCACTCGATGTTCGGCTCAGCCAGCCAGCCACCGTAGAACCCGTCCGCATCCCAGAATCTTCCCAAACCCGGAAAGACTGACGATGACAACGACTGAAGACGACGACGCCTGACGACGACGACGACGACGACGACGACGACGACGACAAGGACGAGATTCAGCGTGATGTCAACAGCGCAGTGTCAAATATTCAGGAGCGCAGAACCTCTGCTCTTCATTCCAACACCGCCTCCGGATGCCAACAAAGTACTGTCAACAGTGTTGTGTCAGATATTAGCAGCGAAAAGCATCTCCTCTCTATGCCAACAGCGCCTCGTAATGCCAACAACGTAATGTCAACAGCGTAGTGTCACAGATTGGAATCGTACAGCCTCTCCTCTTAATGCCAACAACGTAGCGTCAACAGTGTAGTGATAATTCACTCGGCATTACGTAGTGTCAGCAGCGTAGTGTCGACCAACAGCGTAGCTTCAACCAAAAGCGTAGCATCAATCAGCAGCGTAGCGTGAACCAACAGCGTGTTGTCAACAGCGCATCATCGACAACGTGACCACCAACAAGGCAGCTTGGATTCGGCGATTTTCCACCAAACTCGTTCTGGGCAGCTCTGGGCGCCACGGGCAGCAGCGCAGCGTCAACAGCGCAATCGTGCACTCGATGTTCGGCTCAGCCAGCCAGCCACCGTGGAACCCCTCCGCAACCCAGAATCTTCCCCAACCCGAAAACACTGATGATGACAACGACTAACGACGACGACGCCTGACGACGACGACGACGACGACGACGACAAGGACGATATTCAGCGTAGTATCAACTGCGCAGTGTCAGAGATTTAGGAACGCAGAACCTCTCCTCTGAATGCCAACACCGCCTCCGAATGCCAACAAAGTAGTGTCAACAGCGCAGCGTCAGAGATTAGCAGCGTAAAGCATCTCCTCTCAATGCCAACAGCGCCTCTTAATGCCAACAATGTCGTGTCAACAGCGCAGTGTCACAGATTAGAAGCGTACACTCTCTCCTCTTAATGCCAACAAGGTAGTGCCAACAGCGTAGTGTTAATTCACCTGGCGTTACGTAGTGTCAACAGCGTAGTGTTAACTCACTGCCAAAATCTTCAAGTCACTGTTAAGAGATCCCTTCACCCCATGAAGGCACCCGAGGCCACCCATGGGGACTCCTCGAGGTGCCTGCTGGACAAGCCCTGGACCGACGTCGTGCCTTGCTCACGACGTCGACCCCCAGAGGTCTCGACCTCTTCCCCGGGCACCCCCAGAGGTTTCGACCTATTCCCCGGGACCGGTGTTTCATCCTGAGTGGTTCTTTGACAGTCCCGGGGCCCCGCGAGGTCCCCGAGAGGCTGAAAAGAGCACAGGAAAGCATCAACAACCCCGTCGTGACGTTTGCTCAGGACGCGAGAGGGTCTGGCTTCGCCGCGCGAGGAGGCGGGCGGCGCCGCCGCGAGAGACGCCCCCGAGCGAGGCCGCGGCGGTGCGCACGCGCGGGCGCCCCCCGCGTCCTGCACCGCGCGAGCCTGCTCCTCGGCGGACTGGCGGGCGGCGGCGGCCGCGGCCGCCGCCTCGCCGCGCAGGGCCTCGAGCTCCTGGGCGCCCGCCCTTCGCGCCGCCCCCCCCCCGTGCGCCAAGGAGGCGGCTCCAGACTGCAGCCGTCGTGCCGGCGTGAGAGAGGAACGCCAGGGCAAGGCAAGGAAGGGGCTCCGTCTCCTGCCCAGGGCGAGCCGCGGCCACGAACAGGCTCCCTGGCCTGGAGACCTCAGGAGAGGCGCGAAGACCGGGGCCCCTCCGGAACCCAAAGTGCACAGCAGGCGGCGGCCCCGGCCTTCCAGTGGAGCCTCACCCGCGAGGAGGGCGCAGGACTCTCCATGGGGCAACGTGGCTCCCGCCCGTTGGAACTCTCTGCCCGGCGGAACGCGAGGAGGACGTGGGGCACACAGGGGCACAGAGGGGCACCCTTGCTTTGGGAAGGGCTCCGGCTGCACCCCCTCCCGAGCAGAAGAGGGACCCCTCCCCACCCCTCCGCCCTCGGCGAGCCTGCTCCTCGGCGGGCCTGCGGGCGGCGGCGGCGGCCGCCTCGCTGCGCAGGGACTCCAGCTCCTGGGATGCCGGTCGCACCCGTGCCCTGTGCCCTCCTGCCAGCGCCCTTTCACGAACTCGGAGATCGAGATCGACAGGCCACGCCGATCCTCCTCCTCCTCCTCCTCCTCCTCCTCCTCCTCCTCGAACGTCGATGCGTTGGCCGCCACTGGAGGCACTGAGTGCAGTGTCCTCGGCCCCTCCAGGGCCCTCGATATCGAATCTTGCAAACATGCGTCGCACCCCGCAGCTGCCGAGAAGAGCGAGGGGGCGGGGGCGCGGGGTTGGGTCGCAGGTGAGTCGCGGGTGGGTCCCGTGTGGGTCGCGGGGTGGGTCGCAGGGTTGGTCGCGGGGGGGGGCCGCGGGTGGTGCGCGGGGGGGGGGGGGGCGACGACGACAACAAGCAGAATCCGGGCCACGGAATCCCACTTCACCCACGCACCCAGGGATGGTGGCAAGGCCGTTCGGCCCCCTCTGTGGGGCATTCTACAGGCTCAGAGGCCCCGTGGCCGCTCTTTCCCGGGGCCTCCCGCGGACCCAGTTCTGGAGCGTGTCGCGGGACTTCCCTCCAGAAGCCAGGAGGGCCCCAAGACGGGCCGAGAGGGTCCCAAGAGGCCTCCGAGAGATGGCCCCAAGGGGGCCTCGATGCCAAGAGCGCTCCGAGACGGCCTATCGCGACCTCAGGACGGCCCAAGAGGCGCCCAAGACGCGCCCAGAGGGCTCCAAGAGGACCCCCCAGAGGGTCTATAGCCCGAGACAGCCACAGAGGCCCCAACGATCTCCCGAAGACGGCCCAAGAGGCCCCCCAGAGGCCCCTAAGACGGCCCAGGGCCCCAAGACGGCCCTTCCCCCAGAGGTGGCCCCCGAGACCGAAGGCCACCGGGTAGCCCTGCATACTGCATCGCTCCAGACTCGGCTCTCGCTCCGGCGCCCCTTTGCACCGGCAGCCGCGGCTTGGCACGCGGCCCCAGGCGCAGGCATCGAATCGCCCCCCTGCCGCCGGCCCCCCCCCCTCCCCCCCCCGCCAGAAGCAGCAGCAGAGAGCCCCCCCTCCGCCCTCGGCGATCCTGCAGCTCGGCGGGCCTGCGGCCAGCGGCCGCGGACGCCTCGCTGCGCAGGGCCTCGAGCTCCTGCGCCGTCGCGGCCCCCCTGCCCCTCTGCTCTTCTTCGCTGTCCTGCTATATACAACGGCCTCTCGAGTCGCAGCGGCCGGCCGGCGCACGGCATCCAGCGACCATCCTTCGCCAGCCGTTCTCCCAGAGGTCCAGCTTCAACCCCGCCTAGCTACCCTCGGCCCTCACGCATCATTCGCCGCGCATTCCTGACTGCCCGATGCCGACCAGCCCCTCCCGGTCATCGCTGCTCCGTGCGCGCTACCCAGCAAACAATCAGCTTCCAGAACGGACGGACCATGACTCGTCATCCGACCTCCACCTGAAATCCGACCTCGGGCGTGGACCAGTCTGGAGCCCAGCTCTCCGAGCCGAGCCCATGACCAGGAGGTCCCTTGCCGGTGGCCACACTGGTACACCCGCGCCCTTCGAGGACAGAGGGCGCACTGACCCGCTACAGATGGCATCGGCGGCCTCCTGCTCTGCCTCAGCGGCATCCGTACTTATCCCCTGCTTGCTCCTGCGTGCGAAACTCCGATGCCCAAGCTGCGCGCTCGTAAACCGCTAAAAACAAAATCGCTTCTGCAATGCCATTGCTGCGACAGGCACTGCCCCGTCCGTTACTGCTTTCGACCAGGTCTCGCAGCCCGTCCCCGACCTTGTACGCTTGATTCCTTGTGCATGGTGGGTGCTGCCAGCTCCTGGAGATCCCTAGACGTCCCAAGAACGCCACTGGAAGTCCACTGGGAGCTGATCGCGAACCCCATGGACATGGAGATCCCATGAGTCATCAGAGTGCGTCTTAACAGTTAGTTAAGTCCACAGTGTAGTGTCGATAGCGTCGTGTCAACGGCGTAGTGTCAAAAGCGTAGTGCAAACAGCGTAGTGTCAACAGCGTAGTGTCAACAGCGGAATGTCATCCAACGGCGTAACAACAGCATAATGTCAACAGCGTGGTGTCAACAGCGTAGGGTCAACAGCGCACTGTCAACCCACAGCGTACTGTCGACAGCGTGTGGCCAGCTGCGCGAACCAACGGCATGGCGTGAACTCTGAGCGCACCGTCGACCAACAACGTAATGTCAACAGCGTAGTGTCAACAGCGTGGTGTCAACCAACAGAGTAACCTCCAGCAACGTAGCCTGAACCAGCAGCCTACTGTCAAGCAACAGTGCGCCGTGTGAGTAGTACTGTCAACAACCAACTGCGTACTGTCAACAGCGCAGTGCCAACAGCGTAGCGTCAACAGCATAGTGCCAACAGCGTAGTGTCAATCAACAGCGTTACCTCAACCAACGTAGCCTGAATCAAAAACGTACTGTCAAACAACAGTGCACCGTGCGAGAAGCACTGTCAACAACCAACAGCATACTGTCAACAACGCAGGTGTCAACAGCGTAGTGCCAACAGCGTAGTGTCAACAGCTTAATGTCAACCAACAGAGTAACCGCAAGCAACGTAGCCTGAACCAGCAACGTACTGTCAAGCAACAGTGCGCCGTGTGAGTACTATTGTCAACAACCAACAGCGTACTGTCAACTGCGCAGGTGTCAACAGCGCAGGTGTCAACAGCGTAGTGCCAACCAACAGCGTAACCTCAGGCAACGAAGCCTGAAACGGCAGCGCAATGTCAAGCAACAGCGCACTGTGTGAGTAGCATTGTCAACAATCAACGGCGTACTCTGAACAGCGCAGTGTTGACAATGCGACCACCAAGGACGCGGCTTCAATTCGACGATTTTCAGCAAACTCGTTCTGGACAGACCTGAAAACAAACGTCTCATACAAAATCTGTCATGACAAGATACCTCACATCTGATCCCTTCTCCCATTCCAAAAAATACACCATTGTGTCAGAAATAATGTATGTCATGAAAATTTGTCACTCGTAACAAATCGTCTCTCGTCTTAAAACCGCCTCTGCTGAAATCCGTATACCATTTTCTGTTTTGAGAAGGCGCCTCTTGTAAGAAGTCGTCTCCCATAAGAGCTCCTGCAAACAAGGGTCGTCTTTCATGGGAAGCCGTCTGTCGAGATGAGAACCGTCTCCGATGAGAAATTTATCTCTCGAGACGTTTATCTGAAAATGTATTCCATTTTAGACAACATACGAATCGGAACAAGCATGACAAATCATCTGTTACGAACAGTCGCCTCTCATGAGAAGTCTGGAGATAATGTTCTTTGGCTCTGAAACAGTATCTCCGGTATTAATCGTGCAGCTCTGTGTTCCCTCATACCAAGAAACAACTTCGGAATGATAAGTGTCGAGGACATGCGGTCACCGGAAAACAACGCGATCATCGAGAACGCTGCTTGACTGGTAGTGTCAACCAACAACGTAGTGTCAACAGCGTAGTGTCAACAACGTAATGTCAACGGCGCGACGTTGACGACGCTCGCTCAATGCTTGGAGCCGCGATCGTCGAAAACGCCGCGCGAATATTAATGTCGACAAACAACGTCGTGTCAACAGCGTAGTGTCAACAGCGCAGTGTCAACGTTACGTAGTGTCAGCAGCGTAGTATCAACAGCGTATTGCCAACAGCATAGTGTCAACCAACAGAGTAGCTTCAACAAACAGCGTAGCATCAATCAACAGCGTAGCGTGAACCAACAGCGTGTTGTCAACAGCGAATCGTCGACAACGTGACCACCAACAAGGCAGCTTGGATTCAGCGTTTTCCACCAAACTCGTTCTGGGCAACTCTGGGCGCCACGGGCAGCAGCGCAGTGTCAACAGCGCAATCGTGCACTCGATGTTCGGCTCAGCCAACCAGCCACCGTAGAACCCCTCCGCAACCCAGAATGTTCCCAAAACCGAAAAGACTGACGATGACAACGACTGAAGACGACGACGCCTGACGACGACGACGACGACGACGACGACAAGGACGAGATTCAGCGTAGTATCAACAGCGCAGTGTCAGAGATTTAGGAACGCAGAACCTCTCCTCTGAATGCCAACACCGCCTCCGAATGCCAACAAATAACGGTCAACATTGTTGTGTCAGATACTAGCAGCGGAAAGCATCTCCTCTCAATGCCAACAGCGCCTCTTAATGCCAACAACGTAATGTCAACAGCGCAATGCCACATATTAGAAGCGTACAGTCTCTCTTCTTAATGCCAACAACGTAGTGTCAGCAGCGTAGTGTTAATTCACTCGGCGTTACGTAGTGTCAACAGCGTAGACACTGTTAAAATCTTCTTTAAGTCACTGTTAAGAGATCCCTTCACCTCATGAAGGCACCCCGAGGCCACTCATGGGGGCTCCTCGAGGTGCCTGCTGGACAAGTCCTGGACCGACGTCGTGCCTTGCTCACGACCTCGACCCCCAGAGGTCTCGACCCCCAGAGGTCTCGACCTCTTCCCCGGGCACCCCCAGAGGTTTCGACCCATTCCCCGGGACCGGTGTTTCATCCTGAGTGGTTCTTTGATGACAGTCCCGGGGCCCCGCGAGGTCCCCGAGAGGCTGAAAAGAGCACAGGAAAGCATCAACAACCCTGTCGTGACGTTTGCTCAGGACGCGAGAGGGTCTGGCTTCGCCGCGCGAGGAGGCGGGCGGCGCCGCCGCGAGAGACGCCCCCGAGCGATGCCTCGGCGGTGCGCACGCGCGGGCGCCCCCCGCGTCCTGCACCGCGCGAGCCTGCTCCTCGGCGGACCGGAGGGCGGCGGCGGCCGCGGCCGCCGCCTCGCCGCGCAGGGCCTCGAGCTCCTGGGCGCCCGCCCTTCGCGCCGCCCCCCCCCGTGCACCAAGGAGGCGGCTCCAGCCTGCAGCCGTCGTGCCGGCGTGAGAGAGGAACGCCAGGGCAAGGCAAGGAAGGGGCTCCGTCTCCTGCCCAGGGCGAGCCGCGGCCACGAACAGGCTCCCTGGCCTGGAGACCTGAGGAGAGGCGCGAAAACCGGGGCCCCTCCGGAGCCCAAAGTGCACAGCAGGCGGCGGCCCCGGCCTTCCAGTGGAGCCTCACCCGCGAGGAGGGCGCAGGACTCTCCATGGGGCAACGTGGCTCCCGCCCGTTGGAACTCTCTGCCCGGCGGAACGCGAGGAGGACGTGGGGCACACAGGGGCACAGAGGGGCACCCTTGCTTTGGGAAGGGCTCCGGCTGCACCCCCTCCCGAGCAGAAGAGGGACCCCTCCCCACCCCTCCGCCCTCGGCGAGCCTGCTCCTCGGCGGGCCTGCGGGCGGCGGCGGCGGCCGCCTCGCTGCGCAGGGACTCCAGCTCCTGGGATGCCGGTCGCACCCGTGCCCTGTGCCCTCCTGCCAGCGCCCTTGTCAGTCCCTGGGCGTATGAAACTTTCCCCCCCCATCAATCCCCCCCCCAAGGGTCCCAAAACCCGAATTCTGGCCGCCCCCTGGGTGACCCCTGGACGAACGCATCATGGGGGCAAAGTGCACCGCAAGGCGGCTCCAGCCCCTCGGTGGAGCCCGATATTGGAGGGGGCCCCGCGAGGGGAGCGCAGAACTCGGCAAGGGGTGGCGTCGTTCCCAGATGCCCGTGCCCTTGCCCGGCGGAACGCGGGGAGGACGTGGGGCGCGATGCACGGGGGGGCACGAAAGGGCACCCCTGATTTGGCAAGGGGATCCACCTCGTGGTCAAACTCTAATGAATCCGCCGACCCCCGCTTGCCGGGGGCGACAGGGCGTGTCAAAGACTTTGGCTGCCATCCTCCCCCCGCCCCCCCCCCTCACATGGGGTCCAAAATCCCAAAGTAGGGGAAAGGGAAGGCGGTACGACCTCCCCAACGCACGCACCTCTGGGGCACCTACATAGAGCCTCCAAATCCACCCTCAGTGGCCACCAAGATGTCCAATCTGCCTTCCAACATGGCACCAGAAGGTCTCCAAAACGCTTGAGAGGTCTCAGGAACACCTCGGATGGCCTCAAGACGGCCCAGGACGCGCCAAGAGCGCCTCAAAGGACCACAAAGAGGGCCCCATGAAGCAACAATCTTGTACTTCCCAACCATCCTGTGGTGCTGGGTCCTCGTTTTGAACAGACAGCGCCCGCGTCCTTCCTCCCGTTGCCCCCCCTTCCTCTCCCCATCATCAGCATCCCCATCATCATCATCACCGTCACCATCATCATCGTCATCATCATCACAATCATCATCAGTTCGGCACACCCCTCACACGTTTCGTGGCCCCACAGGGGGCTCCACCGAAGGCCGCAGTGGCTGCGTTCACATGCGCCCACCGCACCAATTTCGGCACACCCCTCACACGCTTCGTGGCCCCATAGGGAGCTCCACCGAAGGCCAGTGGCTGCGTTCGCATGCACCCACCGCACCCATGTCGGCACACCCCTCACACGTCTCGTGGCCCCAAAGGGAGCTCCACCGAAAGACCCAATTGATGCGTTCGCATGCACCCATTCACCCCTCTCACACGTTTCGTGGCCCCACAGGGAGCTCCACCGAAGGCCACAATTGCTGCGTTCACATGCGCCCACCGCACCCATTTCGGCACACCCCTCACACGTTTCGTGGCCCCATAGGGAGTTCCACCGGAGGCCACAGTGGCTGCGTTCCAATGCGCCCACAGCACCAATGTCGGCACACCCCTCACACGCTTCGTGGCCCCATATGGAGCTCCACCGAAGGCCCCAGTCGTTGCGTTCACATGCGCCCACCGCACCCATATCGGCACGCCCCTCACACGTTTTGTGGCTCCACAAGGAGCCCCACCGAAGGCCCCAATTGCTGCGTTCGCATGCGCCCGCCGGGCCCATTTCGGTACACCCCTCACACGCTTCGTGGCGCCATAGGGAGCTCTTCCGAAGGCCCCAGTGGCAGCGTTCATATGCGCCCACCGCACACATGTCGGTACACCCCTCAAACTTTTCGTGGCCCCGTAAGGAGCTCCACCGAAGGCCACACTGGCTGCGCTCACATGCGCCCGCCGCACCCATTTCGGCACGCCCCTCACACGTTTCGTGGCCCCACAGGGAGCTCCACCGAAGGCCACAGTGGCTGCGTTCCAATGCGCCCACAGCACCAATGTCGGCACACCTCTTGCACGTTTCGTAGCCCCAAAGGGAGCTCCACCGAAAGACCCAATTGATTCTTCGCGTGCACCCATTCTGGCACACCCTTCTCACACGTTTCGTGGCCCCACAGGGAGCTCCACCGAAGGCCACAGTGGCTGCGTTCACATGCGCCTATCGCACCCATTTCGGCACACCCCTCACACGCTTCGTGGCCCCATAGAAAGTTCCCTCTCGTTCGTTCAACCTGCCTTGTGGCACTCGCAACTGCATATGGTTGGGTCCTTCGTCAAGCTAATTCCCATATTTGGTTGCACGATGTTCGCGTTATGTTTTTTCTGGACGCCCGAAATAGGTACGGAAACAATGGGCACACTGCCCAACAACAAATCCCCCCACCAGCCCTCTGGGCGTCGGTGGTTTAAGGAGTTTCCTCTTCCAACCTCCTTTATTCCCTCTGCGGAGGGGTTTGTCACTGTTCCCTATTAACAAACACCCCCTCCCCCAGGCGACTGGGGGCCAACCAGGGTCCATGCCGACCCCCCCCCCACCATCCCTTGTAAAAAAATATCCCGGCAAAGCAACCTAACAGCGATATGTAGAAGCATATCTGAAAGCATTCCCCTTAAGATTCAGATGAAAATCCAGTTGTAGAATTCTGCTGTTCTCGCAGTCGTAGTCGCATTCGCGATGACAGTCGCAGCGGCAACGGCAGTCGCAGTCACAGCCTCAGCCTCAGCCTGCCTCAGCCTCAGCCTCAGCCTGCCTCAGCCTCAGCCTGCCTCAGCCTCAGCCTCAGCCTGCTTCAGCCTCAGCCTCAGTCTGCCTTCAGCCTCGGCCTCAGCCTCAGCCTGCTCAGCCTCAGCCTGCATCAGCCTCAGCCTCAGCCTCAGCCTAGCCTCAGCATCAGCCTGCCTGCAGCCTGCCTCAGCCTCAGCCTCAGTCTGCCTCAAATGTGGCCCAGGAGTGGAGTTCTGGGAACTAGAAGAACACGAAGTGGCCTACAGTTGGCTCCGGGCATTCAAAATCATGCCCAGGAATGGAGTTCTGGGAACTCGAAGAGCACGAAGTGGCCTACAGTTGGCTCCGGGCATCCAAAATGTGGCCCGGGAATGGAGTTCTGGGAACTCGAAGAGCACGAAGTGGCCTACAGTTGGCTCCGGGCATCCAAAATGTGGCCCGGGAATGGAGTTCTGGGAGGTCGAAGAGCACGAAGTGGCCTACAGTTGGCTCCGGGCAGTCAAAATGTAGCCCGGGAGTGGAGTTCTGGGAGGTCGAAGAGCACGAAGTGTGTGACTGTGGCAAAAAGCGAACCCGGCTCTGTTCCCGGTTCTCCAGAATGTGGCCCGGGAATGGAGTTCTGGGAGGTCGAAGAGCAGGAAGTGTGTGACTGTTGGCGAAAAGCGAGCCCGGCTCTGTTCCCGGTTCTCCAGAATGTGGCCCGGGAATGGAGTTCTGGGAGGTCGAAGAGCACGAAGTGTGTGACTGTTGGCGAAAAACGATTCCCGGTTCTCCTCCCTGGCACCCGCCCAGACCCCCCTGTGGAGTCATGATGCTCTCTTTTGACCCTACTAGAAACCTATCAGCAAACGCTGTTAGGTAACAATACAAAACACACTCTGCCTCCGAATTCGGAACATGCGCAGCCAACCCGATGCGTTCCCCCACCCCCACCATCCCTGTCAAATTATCCCGGCAAAGCAACCTAACAGCGATGTGTAGGAGCATATCTGGAAGCATTCCCCTTAAGATTTAGATGAGAATCCAGTTGTAGAATTCTGCTGTTCTCGCAGTCGTAGTCGCATTCGCGATGACAGTCGCAGTGGCAACGGCAGTCACAGTCGCAGCCTCAGCCTCAGCCTGCCTCAGCCTCAGCCTCAGCCTGCCTCAGCCTCAGCCTGCCTCAGCCTCAGCCTCAGCCTGCTTCAGCCTCAGCCTCAGTCTGCCTTCAGCCTCGGCCTCAGCCTCAGCCTGCCTCAGCCTCAGCCTGCATCAGCCTCAGCCTCAGCCTCAGCCTGCCTCAGCATCAGCCTGCCTCAGCCTCAGCCTCAGCCTGCCTCAGCCTCAGCCTCAGCCTGCTTCAGCCTCAGCCTCAGTCTGCCTTCAGCCTCGTCCTCAGCTTCAGTCTGCCTTCAGCCTCAGCCTGCCTCAGCCTCAGCATCAGCCTGCCTCAGCATTCAAAGTGTGGCCCGGGAATGAAGTTCTGGGAACTCGAAGAACACGAAATGGCCTACAGTTGGCTCCGGGCATTCAAAATCATGTCCAGGAATGGAGTTCTGGGAACTCGAACACCACGAAGTGGCCTACAGTTGGCTCCGGGCAGTCAAAATGTAGCCCGGGAATGGAGTTCTGGGAAATCGAAGAGCACGAAGTGGCCTACAGTTGGCTCCGGGCATCCAAAATGTAGCCCGGGGGTGGAGTTCTGGGAGGTCGAAGAGCACGAAGTGGCCTACGGTTGGCTCCGGGCAGTCAAAATGTAGCCCGGGAATGGAGTTCTGAGAGGTGGTCGAAGAGCACGAAGTGTGTGACCGTTGGCTTAAAAAGAATCCGGTTCTGTTCCCGGTTCTCCTCCCCGGCACCCGCCCAGACCCCCTGAGGAGTCATGATGCTTTCTTTTGGCCCTGCTAGAAACCTATCAGCAAAAGCTGTTAGGTAAAAATAATACAGAATACACTTGGCGGCGGCGGCGGGCGGGGCGGGGGCGGGGGCGGGGGCGGCGGCGGCGGCGGGGCGGCAGCGGCAGCGGCTGCGGCGGCGGTTTGGCAGCGGGGGGGGCGGCGGCGGCGGCGGCGACGGCGGCGGCGGCGGCGGCGGCAGCGGTGGCGGCAGCGGCAGCGGCTGCGGCGGCGGTTTGGCAGCGGGGGGGCGCGGGGCGGCGGCGGCGGCGGCGGCGGCGGCGGCGGCAGTGGCTGCGGCGGCGGCGGCGGCGGCGGCGGGGCGGGCGGCGGCGGCGGCGGCGGCGGCGGCGGATTGGCCCCCAGTAGCTGCCCATCCCAAGACGACTGCTGAATATGCTGAGGCTCGGGCCAGACTCGGGTGCTACGTATGTGTTGGGAGGGCGGGTGGGAGTGAGCGAGACGGCTTGCGGGCGGGGAGGGGGTAACTTGACCCCTCCCCCTACCCCCTCCCCTGGACCTGGACGGGGGGTCTCGCGAGGTGTCAGGGCGTCTAAAACGGCCTCGGCGAGGAAGCCAACATCATTGGATTTACTAGTGTTGGCCCCATGTTGGCCTCCTGGGGGGGGGGGGGGGCTCATTAAAGCTCCCCTCTTGTTTGATCGATCTCCTCCATGGTGGCCCCAAGAAGCGCCCAGGATGCCCCAAGATGCCCCAAGATGGCCCAAATATGGCCCCAAGAGGCCCCAAGAGGCCCCCAGGAGGCCCCCAAGAGACCCCCAAGGGGCCCCAAGAAACCCCCCAGAGGCACCCAAGATGCTCCAAGAGGCCTCGGCGAGAATGCCAAGACGGCCTCGGCGAGGAAGCCCAAATCAGCGGTTTTACTATAGTTTGGGCCCCATTTGGCGTCCTGGGGGGGGGACGCTAATTAATGCTCCCCTCTTGTTTGATCGATCTCCTCTAAGATGGCCCCAATAAGCGCCCAGGAGGCCCCAAGAGGTCCCAAGATGGCCCCAAGATGGCCCCAAGAGGCCCCCAAGAGGCCCCCAAGGGACCCCCAAGAGGCCCCCAAGAGGCCACAAGAGACCCCCCGGAGGCACCCAAGATGCTCCAAGAGGCCTCGGCGAGGAAGCTAAAATCACTAGGTTTACTAAGGTGTCGGCTCCATGTTGGCCTCCTTGGGGGGGACGCGTTCATTAAAGCTCCCCTCTTGTTTGATCGATCTCCTCCAAGATGGCCCCGAGAAGCGCCCAGGAGGCTCGAAGAGGTCCCAAGATGGCCCCAAGATGGCCCCAAGAGGCCCCCATGAGGCCCCCAGGAGGCCCCCAAGAGACCCCCAAGAGGCCCCAAGAGACCCCCCAGAGGCACCCAAGATGCTCCAAGAAGCCTCGGCGAGAATGCCAAATCATTGATTGGTACAAAGGTTTTAGCAACATGGTGGCCTCTTGGGGGGGCACTGATTAAGATCAAGAGCGCCTGGGAAAGCCCAAAACGACCTCCAAGATGGCTCAAGATATCCCAAGATGTCTCATAATGGCTTCCTCTGTGTGCTGCCCACTTCCCTGATCGAAGCAATTCCTCTGGGCATCTTTTCTGGGTGGGCTGGTGGAATTCGCGAAGCGTCAACAATTTGGTCCAAAACCGACAGCGGCCGCTGTTGGGCGGGCGGCGTTTTGGCTTCAATGGACAACGTCCGCGGCGGCGCGGACACCGAGTCCTGTTCAAATGAACAGGAACTGCTGTTTGGCATCGTTGGCATTGTTTCCGTATTCATTTCGATCGTCCCGATGTCTTAGCTTCGCTTTCTTCTGGAATTCCAAGACGGTCCCAGGAGGTCCCGAGGCCGGCCAGAGGCGGCCCCCCAGGAGGGCCTGGAGACGGCCAAAGGAGGGCCCCAAGGACGGCCACAGAGGTGCACAACGAGGGTTCCAAGAAGGACCCAGGAGAGGCCTTAGAGGCTCGCAGGGAGCCTTAAAGGGTGAAGATCGAAGTGGTTCTCCTGTTCCCACCCATCCTGTTGTGTTGGGTCCTCGCTTTGAAGAGACAGCGCCACCGTCTACTCCCGTCTCCTCATCCTATTCCTCTCCCTGCTCCTCCCTCCTCCCATCCCTGGCCTCTGCCCTCCGCATTTTTCTATTCCGGCGTACACCTCACAGGGAGGAAGAGGAGGATGAGGAGGAGGAGGAGGACTAGTGTAAACCCAAGAGTCATCGACGATGTCGGAATTAACCCTCCCTCCAAGCTCCCTCTTCATAGGCCCCTACAGCGGATCTTTTCCATTGAGGGGACTGCCTCGTTGGAAGACACCCGTTTGAAGATCATGAAGCATGCCAAAATATTGTTCTCGGGATTTCAAGGCCACGTGACAACCTTACTGTTGCGTCTTGACGACCCTGAATCGCGCTGGAACGCCATTCCTAGGACTTCAACACAGGAAATCAACGTAACTGCTGCACCCGTATAATCCTGAATCCTTCCAAAACACAGTTTCTGATACACTGGTGAAGGGAACCCGTGAAACTCTTGCAAGTGTTTGACAAGAGTGTGCGCGGCGCTAAAGCGAGAGACACGTTTTGAAAAGGAGCCGCCCCCAATCCGCGAAACTCTTGCAAGTTTTGAAACGAATGCGCGCGGCGCTGAGGCGAGAGCCACATTTTGAAAACGACACGCCCTCAATACTGGAAGCTCTTGAACATGTATGAAACGAATGTACGCGGCGCTAAAGCGAGAGCCACATTTTGAAAACGACCCGCCTTCAATCCATGGAAATCCTGCGAATATTGAAAACGAATGTGCGCGGAGCTAATGCGAGAGACACATGTTGGAAACCACCCGCCCTCAATCCGCGAAGCTCTTGCAAATTTTGGAAACGAATGTGAACGGCGCTAAAGCAAAAGCCACATGTTGAAAACCACCCGCCCTCATTCCGTGAAGCTTGTGCGAAATTTGAAAAGGAATGTGCGCGGCGCTGAAGCGAGAACCACTTTTTGAAAACGATCCGCCCTCAATCTGTAAAATTTTTGCAGATTTTAAAAACGAATGTGCGCGGCGCAAAGGCGAGAGCCACATTTTGAAAACGATCCGCCCGCCATCTGTGCAGCCGTAGTCACGTTTTAAACTTCAGAATCATACATGGTGAGGAAGTCTCAAGCGAAACGCCCGGCCCGCCCTAAAAACTAGCCTCGGGGTGCGACGGGGAGAAGTGATCTATAAGGAGAAGGAATGGAGGAGGAGGAGGAGGAGGAGGAGGAGGAGGAGGAGGGGGAAGAGGAGGAGGAGGCGGAGGAGGAGGAGGAGCCCTCTCCCGCAGGATGGCCCCCAAGGCCCCCCAGTAGGCCCCAAGGAAGCCCCCACAGGGCCTCCAGAAACCCATCAGAGGCCCTGAAAATGAGACGCAAAAGGACAGACTAGCGAGGCGCACGTCCGCACCGAACATATGTTACAAACAGGTGGTGTAGTATCGTTACCCAGACGGTGTGGCCAGAAAGCGCCCGCCACCGATCATACACAATAAGAGTTCTGAGCACGTGCGTCGCCCTTGGGGTGCCGACGCACACCTACCATATGTATGTTTAGATGGTGCCGAGACAAGGCTCCAAGATGCAGCCCCCTCGGGACTCCAAGATGCCCCCAACAAGCCGCGGAGTAGACGCAGAGGAAGAGGAGGACGAGTCAGCAACAGCTGCGTGCATGCAGCACGACGAGAAGCGGCGGACAACAAACCTGACGTCAGAAGCCGCACGTCGTCTCGTCTTGGGGCCGGCGGAAGGGCGCAAGCCTCTCGAGTAAAGCCTAAACGTCCAGGCCCAAACCTTTTCGGTACACGGAGGGCGCTCCAGTGTGGCGACCTCGCAGCGTCCCTTTTCCAGAATCCTGCGGCAGGGGGGCAGGGGTTTGCCCTGCTGCTGATGATGGCGGGGGACGAGCCTATTTTCGATGATTCGCGATGACGCCTGTTACCAGCCCAGCGCCCCGCCCCCAGTAACGTGAATATTCGCGCTGGCGCCGCCCCAGAACCTGCTCCGAGCGTCATCTGTGCTGGTCAGCACCAAGAAGCACGGCCGTCGCGATCCCTCCAAGCTCCACAATCGCTCCCAGGGCGACCATTCGCCCAAATCGGGGGCCGCTTCCTGGAGCGTGTCTCCAGACGCAGAAATCGGAGCGTGAAGATCTCGTTTGGTGTGGAAGCCTGTGTCCCCGCCACAGCTGCACAACCCCCGAAGCAAAAGAGCGACACTCCCCCTCCCACCCTCGGCGAGCCTGCACCTCAGCAGACCTGCGGCTGGCGGCGGCCGCCGCCTCGCCGCGCAGGGACTCGAGCTCCTGGGCTGCCACCCGCATCCGTGCCGCTCGCCTTCCTGCCAGCGCCCCTGCCCTTCCCCTGGCGGAAGCCAGCCCTCCCCCGCCAGCCGAAAACGGAGCGAGCTGAGACAACGGCAGCCCGAAGCCCGTCACCAGATGAGACGCAGAGGGGCATGCTAGTGTCGTGTTCCGATGCTGGGCGCGCACGTCCCACAGGAACGTCCAGCACACGAGTCTTATGGCGTATCGGTTCCCGGAGCGGTACGGCCAGAAAGCTCCCGCCTCGGAGCTTCTCTGCTGCAAGATCTCTGAACGCGCGCGCGCCTCGCCTGCGTGGCCGACGCATATGATGTAGCACAGTGCGGGCGGTGCCGGCCAGACCCATCCTGGGGTCCAAGCGCAACAGCCGGCCGAGCTGCATCCAGCCACCACTGCCCCGGCCCGCCCTCCTCTGACGAGCTCGCCCCGAGGGAGAGAGGAGAAGGAGGAGGAGGAGGAGGAGGAGGAGGAGGAGGAGGAGGAGGAGGAGGAGGAGGAGGAGGGGGAGGAGGAGGAGGAGGAGGAGGAGGAGAGGAGGAGGAGGAGGAGGGGGGAGGAGAAAGAGGAGGAGGAGGAGGAGAAAGAGGAGAAGGAGGAGGAGGAGGAGGAGAAAGTGGAGGAGGAGGAGGAGGAGGAGGAGGAGGACGAGACGAGGAGGAGAAGAAAGAGGAGGAGGAGGAGGAGGAGGAGGAGGAGGAGGAGGAGGAGGAGGAGGGAGAGAGGAGGGGAGGAGGAGGGGGAGGAGGAGGAGGAGAGAGGGAGGAGGAGAAAGGAGAAGGGAGGAGGAGGAGGAGGGAGGAGGAGGAGGAGGAGGAGGAGGAGGGAGGGAAGGAGGAGAGGAGGAGGAGGAGGAGGAGGAAGAGAGGGAGGAACAGGAGGGGGGAGGGGGAGGACCCCTCGGCTTTCGGCGAAAGCGGGCGAGGGCGGCTGCCTTGCCGGCTGCTCGCCCCGTCCGGGGCAGGAAGCTTCCCCCCACCCCACCCCACCCCTGGAGCGCGCATTCGCTCGCTCGCTCGCTCGTGCCGCGGCTGCGGCAGCGCATGGGCGCGCAGACGCCCGCGCTTGGAAGTAAGAAAGTCTGACGCCGCGTGCTTCACTCCACCATGTACGAACACTCTACGAACAATTACTCCGACGGTAGGACCCCACATGAAAATATGTATCGATTGCCCGTCGCTCTTTCCTCTTCGCCCTGGCCAAAGCCCCTCCTATCGCCCTCTGTTGCGCCTCCTCCTCATCCTCCTTGTCTTCCTCGTCCTCCGTCTCCTCCTCCTGCTCGCCCTCCTTGTTCAATGTCTCTTTTTCCTCTTCGTCCTTTTCCTCCTCCTCCTCCTCCTCCTCCTCCTCCTCCTCCTCCTCCACACCTCCTCCTCCTTTCCCCCCACCTCATCTCCAGCCCGCCTGTTCTCATGAACCTTTCCTTCTTCCTGGCCGGGGGGCGCATGCCGATTTTCCTCGGCGCCCTCGCCGCCGCTCCCGGCAGGGGCGCGTTCTCCGATGGCAAAATCGCGAAGCCATCGGGGCAGCGGCCGCTGGGACAACCCCGCGAGCCGCTGGGGCGCGAGAGCAAGCCGTTGGGACAACCCCACAGGCACCGAGTTAGTCGCGGCCGCGCTCAGGCGGGAGGCAACACGGAATTCAACTCTTCCGCGAGCTGCTCCGCCCACGCCCATGAGTCCACCGCTCTCTTGTCTAACTCCTCGAGCGACTTGTGAATAGGGATGGGGGCTCACTCACTCACTCACGCGTGAGGGACGTTTTTTGATGTGCCCCTCTTGGGGTGCTTAAAACTGCTATGCCTGGTGGAGTTTGCCGATGACCCGCTCGGATTACCAACGTGAAGCGCGGGTCCCACAGGAGGGGACTCCCGCCTGAGACTGCTTCGCGGTCCACCCACAGACGAAGCCTCCGCGTGAGACTTTCTCCATATTCAGCTCAGAAGAGCCGAACAATGACGACAATTACAAGGTTCTGATGACCCGTTCGGATTGCCAACGCGAAGCGCGGACCCCATGAGAAGGGGGCTCCCGCCTGACACCTCCTCACAGTTCACCCACAGGCGAGGTTCCCGCCTGATACGTACTTCCCATATATTCAGGCCTCAGGAGCCCAAAAATGACGACAGGTACAAGTTCGAGGATGACCAGCCCGGATTGAAAAAAATGAAATGCGGGCCCCATAGGGAGAGGGTTCCCGCCTGACACTTCCTCGCAATTCACTCACAGGCGAGGCTCCCGCCTGATACGTCGCCCATATTCAGACCTCAGGAGCCCAAAAGTGACGACAAATACAGGTTCGAGGATGACCCGCTCGGATTAAAAGGCATGACCTGCGGGCCCCATAGGGAAAGGGCTCCCGCCTGAGATTTCCTCGCAATTCACTCACAGACGAAGCTCCCGCATGATCCTTCCCCCAGGCTCAAGCCTCAGGAGCCCAAGAGTGACAACAAGTACAGGTTCGAGGATGACACGCTCGGATTGAAAACATGAAGTGCGAGATACATAGAGAGAGGGCTCCACCTGGAGACTTGCTCGAATTCACTCACAGACGAGCCTCCCGCTGGATACTTCTTCCATATTTATGTCTCAGGAACCCAATACTGACGACAGGTACAGGTTCGAGGATGACACGCTCAGATTAAAAACATAAGAAATGCGGGCCCCATAGGGAGAGGGCTGAGACTTCCTCGCAATTCACTCACAGACGAGGCTCCCGCCTGATGCTTCGCACATATTCAAGCCTCAGGAGCCCAAAAATGACGACAGGTACAACTTCGAGGATGACCCGCCTGTATTAGAACCATAAGAAATGCGGGCCCCATGAGGAAAGGGCTCCCGCCTAAGATTTTTTTCCCAATTCACTCACAGACGAGGCTCCTGCCTGATACTTCCCCCATATTCAAGCCTCAGGAGCCCAAAAGGGACGAGACAGTTACAGGTTCGAGCATGACCCGCTCGGATGAAAAAATGCGCGCGGGCCCCATAGGGAGAGGACTCCCGCTTGAAATTTCTTCGCAATTCACTCAGAGACGAGGCTCCCGCCTGATACTTCGCCTATATTCAAGCCTCAGGAGCCCAAAAGTGACGACAGGTACAGGTTCGAGGATGACACGCTCGGATTAAAACCATAAGAAATGCGGGCCCCATAGGGAGAGGGCTCCGCCTGAGCTTTCCTCGCAATTCACTCACAGACGAGGCTCCCGCCTGATACTTCCCCCAAATTCCAGCCTCAAGAGCCCAACAGTGACGACAATTACAGGTTCGAGGATGACCCGGTCGGATTGAAAACATGGAGTGTGGGCCCCATAGGGAGAGGGCTACAGCCTGACACTTCCTCGCAATTCACTCACAGACGAGGCTCCCGCCGGAAACTTAACTTCGCCCATATAGTTAGGCCTCAGGAGCCCAAGAGTGACGACAAGTACAGGTTCGAGGATGACCGGTTCGGAACAAACAAAAATCATAAAAGTGCAAGCCCAATAAGGAGAGGGCTCCGCCTGAGACTTCCTCGCAGTTCCCTCACAGGCGAGCCTCCCGCCCGATACTTCCCCCATAGTCAAGCCTCAAGAGCCCAATAGTGACGACAGGTACAGGTTCGAGGATGACCCGCTCGGATTAAAAACATAAGCAGTGCGGGCCCCATAGGGAGAGGGCTACCGCCTGAAACGTCCTTGCAATTCACTCACAGTCGAGCCTCCCGCCGGATGATGAGTTAAGGAGTGGACGGGAGTGAGTGAGTGATTGAGTCGGTGAGTGAGTGAGTGATGATGCTGCTGTTGTTGATGATGATGATGATGATGATGATGATGATGATGATGATGATGAGGATGAGGATGATGAGGATGGTGATGATGTGGTGATGATGCTACTGATGTTGATGGTGAAAAGTAATTATGTGTGTGAGTGATGGCGACAAGATGACTGAGTGAATGAGTGATGATGATGATGAGTGAGTGAGTGAGTGAGTGAGTGAGTGAGTGAGTGAGTGAGTGAATGAGTGAATGAGTGGGTGATGATGTAGTGTGTGTGTATGTATTCCTGTGTGTTCCTGCGCGGGGTCCAGAGAAAACAAGAAGCCCACTTCGGATGTGGGGAAAAATAAGCTGAAAGACAACACCCAGGATCCAGCCCAGAATCTTGATTCTCTTGAGCGAAACCTTGAGCCCATGAAAGTTGATGCGCTTCCTTGAGAATTCGGATGGGTACACTGGCAGATCAATGATGCAAGCATACACATGTTCTCGTTGGTGCCACGTGGAGGCGTCACTCACTGCATCTTGAAGTCGGAAGCTGCCCCCGGCCAGACGGATTGCGTCGGGCGGTGCACTTCAGACCCGCTCGATCCCGGAAGCTCCAACTCGGCAGGCGCACCCGTCGGCGGCGGGAGGGCAGGGGAGCCCCCTCCCCAGTCGGGGGGCAAGTCGACCCCCGGAGGTCTCCCGGGGGCCGCGCTCTGCCCAGGGTCCCGAGGAGGCGGATCCAGCCGTGGCCACGAGGGCGCCCCCGGGACGGGCAGAAACCTCCCGAGAGCAGAGGCCGCCGATCCTCGAACCCCGAGCCTCGCAGTCCTTCCCCCCGACGCTGCCCCCGCTGCCCGCGCGGGGCGCGAGCCTGCACCTCGGCCGACCTGCGACTCGCGGCGGAGGCCGCCTCGCTGCGCAGGGCGTCGAGCTCCCGGGCCGCGCGCGCCGCGCCCCGCGGCAGCGCGGCGGGCTCGTGGTCGCGACGACGGGCGCGCGTGCGCTGCCGACGAAGCGCGGGCCGCTCGGCGCTGAGCGATCGCGACCTCCCGACAGCACAGATCGTTAGATGCCCTCCTCCTCCTCCACCTCCTCCTCCTCCTCCTCCTCCTCCTCCTCCTCCTCCTCCTCCTCCTCCTCCTCTCCTCCTCCTCCTCCTCCTCCTCCCCCTCCCCATCCCCAATCCTCCTCCTCCTCCTCCTCCTCCTCCTCCTCCTCCTCCTCCTGCCGACTCCGGGCCACCGGGCGACGCTCAGCCTCGAGCGCCCGCGCTGGGGTCGACACCGCGTCGGCACGACTCGGATCTGCCGCACTTGCTGCCCTGCTTGCGCTCTCGCACAGACTTGGAAAATGTCTACAGGATCGGCGTCGTCCCCCGTGCCGATTGCAGTACCCAGCCTTCTCAACTCCTCTGAGCTCAGCCTTCGGTCCTGCGGCTGTTCATGGCCACACATTGGGAACCCTGGTTGGTTTGAAACGCGGCCCATGACGAAATCGCCCCGCGCGAATCTCGGGCTGATGGAAGTCCCTCCGGCCCCGCCGGCAGCACCCCCTACGCGGCGCTTGGCTGCACGATCTCCTTGAAGTAGCGTTGCAAACCTGGAATCGTCCGTTCGCAGCCGTGCTGCTCCAATCCTGCGAGCCCGATGCATGACCACTCTGTGGCGTGCGTCGTCGTCGTCGTCATCATCGTCGCCACTGCGATTCTTCCTGCGACGCGCCCCGCAAAATATCCCGCGACCCACACGCCACCCATGCGCGACCCCCGGCGACCCACGCGCGACCCACCCGCGGCCTGCCCACGACCCGCCCGCCACACTCCCGCGACCCACCACACCTTACTGCGATCCTCCCACGATTCACGTCCGCGACCCACCCACACCGAAAGGAAGACCAATGCCTTGACAAATCAAGCAAGCGGTTGGGCTTGTTTGAGCTTGTGCGCACACGCACTTCCTTAGTGCCCTCGTCAGCACCTGCGGTATCATCGTCGCCATCCTCGCCATCATCACCACCACCGTCATCAACATCATCATCGTCATCGTCGTCGTAGTTGTCGTCGCCTTGGTCATCAGCGCCGCCATCATCAGCATCATCAGCATCATCATCAGCATCATCATCAGCATCATCATCATCATCACTCGCCCGCCCGAGCCATGGATCTGCATGAGAAGGGTCATCGCGTCATTTCTGATTTTTGCCAGCAATTTGCGGGCCTGTGGGTGGGATATTTGCTCACGCATTGGAGTTGGCGACGAGCATTGGTGAATTGCACCACATTGGAATCTCCCCCACACCGAGGCTGGACTTCACGTCACCCATGCGCATATTGTCTTTCAATGTTTGCTCTGCACGATGGTTCAATGCAAACTATGAACTAAGACCATCCCTGCCAACTGGTACCACCCCCTCCTCCTCATTTCTGGTGAATAATACGATGCGGTGAACAGGCGTTGATTTGTTATACATGCGCATCTAGAAACCCATTGCAAAACACACAATGCGGGGCACGTGCGCGTGCAGACGAGCGCGCATATCAACATCCCTGAAAGCGAATACACTGACGGGTTCAAGACATAGCGACTCGAAAGCTAAGAAAGGCAACTGGCCTTTCGACAAACAGTTGTCAGAATTACGCATGCGCGCACTCGCTGAGAGCATACGTAAGAAACCAATGGTTGTGTAGCCACTCTGTCAGTGGAGACCGTGCGGGTCACACGCGCGCGCATGTCGAAATCTGTCAACAACCGACGCACGCCAACCAACTCTGTCAAATCCGCCGGCCTTCGCCTGCTGGAAGGGAAACGGCGCGTGAGACATTCTGCTGTCCCCCACTCAGGCAAGACAATCAATCCGGACGACGAAAGCACTCTGATGCAAGCGTGCTGTCAGTATCGAGCTGACGTGTCGTCCCATGAGGGACTCACCTGAGCCAAACTGACTACTGATCATGTGCATGCAGAGGCATGGAAGGATTGTTCCAGCACGTGCCAAAAATCACGCTGGACATGAGGAGGAGGGGGGCCAAAAATTCCCTTAGAGTTGGGGGGCTGCCCGCGGTGGGGAACGGGGGACACGGGGGAAAGGGGCCGAGAAAGCACAGGGCGGGTGCGAGCTCGCTGATGGGCCTGTTTTCCACCACCACTGCCTTAAGTTGGAGGGGGGAAGGAGGAGGACGAGGAGGAGGAGGTGGAGGAGGAGGAGGAGGAGGAGGACCCCCTCCCCCTCCAACTGATGGTGGTGGTGGTGGAAACAACGCCCATCACTCGCCAACACACCTCCGGGGTCCTCGGAGCATCCAATCCACCCTCCGTTGCCGCCAAGATGCTCGTCGTGGTCGTTGTCGTCGTGGTCGTCGTCGTCATCCTTCTGGGTCGGCTGCACTGGCGGCAAGGCCTTCACAATCCGCCCTCCGTGACCGCCAAGGTGCCCCAAATGCCTTATGTTATGGCTCCCACGGGGCTCCAACCCGCGGGGGAGCCCCCAAGAGCATCCGAGGTGGCGTCAAGACGGCCCAAGACGCGCCATGAGAGCCTTGAAAGAACAAACTCCCGAAGATTGGCTCAAAAATCATTCCAGAATCGAATGGCAGTCCATGGTTTCTGCTGTGTCGCCCTTTCGCTTCAGATCGGCTTCTGAGGCATCCAGATGGCGTCAAGATCGCCCGACAGAGGCCAAAGAGAGGCCCAGGAGAGCTCAAAGACGACCCCTAGGACGCCCAAGAGCGCCCCAAGAGGGCTCCAAGAGGCGATGTTTAGGCTTCCGACGGGAGGGGCGTAAAGATGTGCACCTCCTTCTTCGATCGCTGGCATCCACGCTGGCCCCAAGAGCGCCCCCAAAGCACCCATAGAGGCCCGAAGAGAGGCCCAGGAGGGCCCAATAAGGCCCCGAGTGAGCCTCCAAGGCGTCCAGAATGGCCCCAAGCCCCAAGGTGGCCCAAGCAAGCTGCCAAGAAACTCCCATCCCGACAGATCCGCGAAGGCATCTATGGTCGACTCCTGGGCGTGCTGAGGCTGATCCCGATCTTCGGTTTGACGTCTGCCCCCTGGCCGTGTTCCACTGCGTGCTTCCACACTTTCCTGATCAATGTAACTCGCCTGGGCATCGTTGCTGGATCGACTGGTGGGGATACTGTTTGTTCGCAGCCGCAAGCGGGCAGTCGCGCGGCGTCAAGAGTCAAACGCGAGACAGGCCTGCGAGCGCGGGGAGATCACACAACAGCAGGCGAACGCAGAAAAATGACGGGGCCGAAACCAAGCGCAAGTCTGGTGGGGATACGCGAGGGGTCGGAAATTGGCCGTCGTGCGAGCGACGCTGAAGATGAGAGGGCTCCCTCCCACGCGCGGCTGCTGGCGCCATAGTGGCGCGTGTCGCGCGGAATCCCAGCTCTTCTAGCACTGCTAGCTGCGCGCCTGGAGGTGCGACTGGTCCTCATCGGCATCGTCATCGTCATCGTCATGATCATCGTCGTCATCATCATCATGATCATCAGCATCATCATCACCATCATCATCATCGCCAGCATCATCATCAGCATCATCAACAACAGCAGCAGCATCATCGTCATCAGCATCAGCATCATCAGCAGCATCCTCACCATCAGCACCATCATCATCATCACCACCACCACCACCATCATCATCATCATCATCATCATCATCATCATCATCATAATCGTCATCATCATCGCCGCCATCATCATCAGCCTCAGCACCAGCATCATCATCAGCAGCCGCATCAGCATCATAAGCATCATCAGCATCAGTAGCATCATCATCAGCGTCAGTATCATCATGATCGGCGTCGGCATCAGCATCGTCATCATCAGCATTACCATCATCGTCGTCATCGTCATCGTCATCACCACCCATCTAATAGTTATCATCAGCATCAGCATCATCATCATCATCAGCAGCATCGCCATCATCAACATCAACATGAGTAGCTGCAGCATCCTCAACATGAACAGCATCGTCGCCGCCATCGTGGCAATCGGCACCACCAACACGATCAACATAATCGTCCTCATCAGAAGTATACTCAGCATCAGCATCATCACCGTCCCCATCACCCTTAACCTCCTCCACCTCCTGCTCATCATCATTAGCAGCAGCATCAGCATCATAATCAGCATCATCAGCATCCTCGTCGTCGTAGTCGTCGCCTTGATCATGATAATGACCCTCATAACGGCAGAACAAAAAAAACTCCGCATCATCATCGGGGTCAGCATTGCCATCCTCAACATCGCAAACATCAGCCACCTCATGATCCGCATACTCATCATCTGTATTACCAGCGCATGCCATCACGCTAATCAAGTCAGCATCGTCACCATCAGCGTCATCATCAGCACATCCACCACCACCATCATCATCATCGTCATCAGCAGCATCAGCATCATCAGCAGCATCGTCATCATCGCCATCATAATCAGCAACAGCATCATCGTCTCCAGCATCATCGCTGTCATCAGCATCCGCAGCACCATCATCCGCAACATCATCACTACCACCGCCATCACAATCGTCACCATCATCAGCATCATCATCATCACCATCATCAGTATGTTCACCATCTCCTTTCATCGCCATCATCCCCATCATCACCATCACCATCCTCATCATCGCCGACACCATCGTCATCATCGTAATCACCCTGAGCCCCTACCCCCGCAGCTGGCCTGAGCATGCTCTGACGCCTTGCGGCTGGCGGCGGCGGCCGTGGCGTTTCGCAGGGACTCGAGCTCCTGGGCTGGCCATCCTCCTGCTCCTCATCCTCCTCCTCCGTTTCCTCCTCCTCATCATCCTCTTCGTCCGCCTCCTCTTTCTCCACTGAGCCTCTCAATACCACCCGTCGGAAGTATCTCGACAGGTTCCATGATTGGCAATGGCCCAATGGCAAGAATTCAAACCGAACTAAGTTCTCATAGTTCGTTTTCGTTTCGGATTCGCATCGCGACAGGGTCCATTCATTCCGTCATGCCTCCTCTTCGTTATCCTTCCCTCGTGTTCCTTGTCTTCGTCATCCCCTCCGTCCTCGTCCTTCTGCTCGTCGTCCTCCTCCTGGACCTTCACCTTTGCATCGTCCTTCCTCCTCCTCCTCCTCCTCCTCCTCCTCCTCCTCCTCCACCTCCTCCTCCTCCTCCCCCTCTACATCCTACTCCCTCCTCATCATTCTTCACCTCATCCTGCGCAAGTATCGACTAGAACTACGCGCGCGCTTCGTGAGCGCTCAGGCTCTGGCGCAGGTTCGGGCAGCGTCATAACATATCGGGCGCGAGATGTCCCCAGTGAGCGCAGGCTGGGACTCCTACACAGACTTAGTTGTGCCTACTCCCCATGAGAAAGTTCCACGGGCCCCAAGCTGCCCCTCCCTGTGCGCATGGTTCCAAGGCGGGATCCAAGAGAAGGTCAGAGAAAGGCCCCAGGATATGACCCCCTAGCGGGATACAATAAGGCCCCTGGATCAAGTTCAGCCAGAGCCCTCTCGCTTGACTTGGTCCAGACCCCTTCGCGGGGACAGGCAGGAATCTTCAAAACACTACGACGGTGCCTCCAAGAGGCCCAGAGGAGGCGCCTTGGGAGCCCTTCCGTGGAGTCCGCTCGGGCACCACCCTGCGAAGTCGGCCGGGCCTGCCAGAAGGCGGGAACGGGAGGAGGCAGGAGGGAGGAGAGAGAGCGCTGCGGGGAAAGGCGAGAGACAGAGCGAGAGAGAGAGAGAGGGAGGAGGGAGAGGATGGAGGAGGGAGGGGAGGGAGGGAGGGAGGAGGGAGGAAGGGGGAGGAGGAGGCAGGAAGGAAGACACCGGGCAGGAGGGCGGAACGGGGCGGGAATGAAGGAGGAAGGGGAACAGGGGGCAGGAGCAAGCCTTCTCTCCCCGTGTCAGCCTCCAGCTCGCCCTCGGCCTCCCCACCCTCGTCCGTTCCGCTCCTCCTCCTCCTCCTCCTCCTCCTCCTCCTCCTCCTCCTCTTCCTCCTCCTCCTCAACCTCCCCCTCCTCCTCCTCCTCCTCATCCCCCTCCCCATCCTCCTCCTCCTCTCCTCCTCCTCCTCCTCCTCCTCCTCCTCTCCCTCCTCCTCTTCCTCCTGCTCCTCCTCCTCCTCCCCCTCCTCCTCCTCCTCCTCATCCGTTCCACTCCTCCACCTTCTCATCCTTCTTCTCATCCGTCGGGGCTCGCGTGCGGCCTTCCTGAAGCTGCCTGCGGGCGTTCCGGGGTCCGTTCGGGGACCCTCCTCGTGCGGCTCCCTCTCGCGGTCCCTTGGGACACCTGCTTTGGGACGCCATCGCGGACCCTCTTGGGACATCTCCGCGGTGACCCAAACCGAGTCTCGAAGAGTGTGGGGTCCCGAATCGGTGCGGTGATAGGCCGTGCGGTGACCTCGGAATCCCCAAAGACCTCACCGCGCGGTCCGTTGCCACACGAATGTGGGACCTTGGAGGCCCCAGTCGTCTGAGACGCTATTCCGAGAACAACCGAAGTCTCAAAACGGTGTGGTCATCCCGAATCCCCACTGAGTCCCCACACGGTGTGTTCAGCGCGCCGGCTGGGGGCCCCCGAGGGGAAGAGGGGGTAGGGCAGAGCGGGCTGGTCTTCTGGGACGGCCTGGACATTACCCCAGAGTGCGTCGGGCCGTTAGCCGCGTGCCTGGGGCACGCTGGGCCATGGGACTCGGGGTCGCCCGTCATCGCCCGTCGGGTCCCGCTCGGGGTCTACCGCCATCGCCCGCAGAGATGCGGACCGTTAGGGGGGCAGGGGCAGGCGACGCGGGGAGGGGGGTGGACATCGCCCCTGAGTCGGCGTCACATCGCCGATGGATCGGCGATGGGCTCTCAATAGCGACGCCGCATGCTCGCACGCTCCCGGGCGGGGCTGGGCTATCAGGGCCCCCCCCACCCCACCCGAGCTCCCCAACGTTGCCCCTAGGGAGCACGGGATTGGCGGGCTTCGCTCCTGGGGTCCCGTCTGCCCCCGGGAGTTCTGGGCCGACCGCCATGGCGCACCAGGGCCCCCGCCAACGCCACCCTGCCCCGAGCCACCCTGGGGCTCGGGCTCGGCCGTGGGCTGGCGCTGCCCACGGGGACCCGCCCTTGGCTGCCCTCGGGGTCGGGGCCGGTGGTCCTCGACCAGTGGGTGCCGCCCACGCGGTCCCGCCCTTGATCGGCCCTGGAGCTCGGAGGTATGCCGTCGCCCCTCGGCCGCGCCACGGGCGTCAGGAGCGGCAGCCGCTGCCCCGCCCCCCCCCCACGAGGCCCCACCCTCTGTCGCCCGACGGTCTCAGGGGGCTGTGCCTGGCAATCGTCGCCCGTGACACCCCGCCCACGGGGCCCCACCCGGAGTTGCCCTGGGGGTCGGGGCATGGCTGTCGCCGCCCACAGGGCACCTCCCACAGAGTCCCGCCCCTGGTTCTGCTTGCCCTACACACACATCCATCGCCCTGCCATGAGGAGCGCTGACCAAGGAACGAAACCGCTTCCTGCTGACCAGCGCGAGGCTCGGCCACGAGCAGGTTCCCCGACCTGGATCTGAGGTGCGGCCCGAGAACCTCAGCCCCTCCTGAGCCCTCGGTGATCCTCATTCCAACGTCTTGGCTGCAGCTGCCCTGGGGGATCGGGAGCCGACGGTCATCCCCCTTTGGGCCCCACCATCGGCTGCCCGGGGGGTTGGACTCGGCCGTCGTTGCCCACAGAGTCCCTCCGACCGGGCCCCGCTCTTTCACACCAGGCCGGCTAGCATCTCTTTACCCGCTCGGTGTCCAGGCGCCGGCATCGCTTTACAAGGCACTGCTCGAGGCAACTGCGCTGAACAATGGATATTCAAACCATCGGCTGCAGTAAAACCGGTTGCCCCAAGCGCAGCGGGGGAGGGAAATAGGTCAGGGCCCAGCCTGGAAGCACGTGCTGAACACCCCCACGGACGGCAATGCCAGGAAGTAGCGGGCCAGGTGTTCGACGGCATGCGCGTGATGATGAGCAGACAAAGCCATGCGCGGTGATGCGCACCCGCCACGGGGGGCCGCCCATGATCCAAGGCGGGCCCCCTCTCGAGCATAACTGGCTGCCCTTGGCGAGGTCACACGAAATGATGTGAGTCCGACTGAAAAAACGGAAAACATGTCGAATAGAAGCCGTGAGACTTGCGGCCGAGGGCGTCCGCAAAGCTCCTGGATACGTGAAACTGCGAGACACCATGCTGTGCAACCACTCGACACTTCAGAGCGATGGTTGCCAAGACGCGACCTCTCGCTTTAGCACCATCAAGTCTCCACTACGTTGTACTGACAGAAAGAAAATAGTCCATCTCACTCTCCCTGGATAGACGGCAATGTTGTACTGCCCCCCGCCAGGGCCCGAAGACAGGCGCCAGGCTGGCTTCAAGACGGCCGAAGATATGCCGAAGACGGCCCCTAGGCTGCCCAAGACCAGCCGTCGGCTACCTCATCGCCTTCTCTTGAGGGCTCCAACACTCGCCAGGCTGCCCAAAGATCTCTCCCAACTGCATCATGACCCTCACAGGCGCTAATGACGTTGGACAGGCCCCCATTCGTGCCCCTGGCGGCCCTCGGGAGCCCTCTGGCGGGGGAGGCAGGAGTGAGGAGCAAGAATACATCGAATGCAGCCCACCGTTGCGTAGTTCGGCCAAGTAGTCTGCTACACTTGATGCTCCTCACACAAAACAAAGTACACGACTCCCTATCGCAGCTTGCGACGCCCCCGAACGCGGTGCTCCTCTCCAACATGACCTTCCTCTGCCATTTCAGACACGGACGCGCTGGCTGCAAATTGCCGTTGGCATGACAAAGTGTGAAGAATCGCTTGGTCCGAACAACTGCCAGTGCACCCAGACATCCTTCGATCTGACTTTTTCGATCTGCGGCCCCAGAGCTCCCGACCCCTCCCTCCAGGGGCAGTTGTGCTCCCCAGATCCGTTTTTGATGATGGCCCCTGGGCCCAGAAGCGCCTTCCCCCCAGCAGGGCCAACGCGAGGGAACAACGCCGCGATCAGAACAACTCGGATCGTCGTACGGCACGTTATTGTCGTGCCGACTCCGGCATTGGTTCCTGACGCCGCAGGGATCTTCCAACCCTGAACGATCGGCTCTTGGCGAAACGTCAGGTCGTTCAGCGACGACAAATTCTGGAACGACGGCGGCGTTCAACGTTGAACGCTGGCGGCAAGTCGCCGCTGGTCGAAACGACACGAACCAGCCGTATGTAGCTCCGTTCAGGCGCGCCCCAACGTGCTCGGCTGGCAGGGCTCCTGCTTCCCCGCGGCGACGCGCTGCATCTCCTGCGCGAGGCGGTCCTCGACGCCCTCCGCTCTGCCTCGCCACGTTGGCGGCCCGTTGGGCCGCGCGCTGGACTGCCCAGGCTGTTAAACTGCCGGGCCTGAAGAAGGATCGGATCGTCAGCGAATGGTCCCGAATCGGATCGAAGTCGGACCGACGCGCCCTGCCTCCGGCTGGCCCCGCCCGATGCCTGTGGGCCGAGCCGAGTCGTGCCGAAACGAGACCGTGGCCCCAGCCAGCGAATCAGATCGCATCGAAGCGGATCGTAGGAGGGAGGCCCTGACCGTGACCACTCGCCAAGACGCAACTCTTTCCTGCCAGGTGTTGCCAGAAATGTCCCTGGCCATCGCGCCCTCAGCATTTCCAAGGAGGCCACCACTCCGGGTAGCACCCGATCATGGGACGAGGGAGGTCCCCACCGCGACTCAACCAATGAAGTCCCACGTCAGTGCTCCAGGCGGGTGCCCGTGCAGCTCCACAGACGCTCCAGCGACAGAAGGGACAGAAGCACGACAACTCCAATGTCAAGCTGTCCCCAAAAGGTCCAAATATGTTACGCCTCTCGAGAGCATTCCTTACCACACGCCATTTTGTTTCCCGAGGCTCCCAGTGGGCCTCCGAGAGGGACACAGGACGAGGAACGCGAACAGACACTCGGGGCCCTCCTCCCAAAATGGCCGCCGAGACAGCCAGGAGGCCTCTGAGAGACTCCCAGGGGCGATCTCTGAGAGGCCCCCCCAAGGAAGCTCTCGGGAGATGCTTGGCGTGTCAGGGCTTCGATTGCTTCACGGAGGCCTGGAAGTTGGCCCAAGATGCATGCGGCCTCAACGGCTACGAAAATCCTTCACATTAGCCCAAAATGTCCTCAAGACGGCATACGATAGCTCCAAGACGGCCTAGCATGGCCTCAGGACGGCAAAAGAGGGCCCCCAGAAGGGCTTCAAGAGGCTTTCCAGGAGGGCCCAAAGAGGCCAACAGTATGTATGCGCTTCACGTGTTTGAATTATCTTCGCATTCCTGCCTGTTCAAACTTCCGACAGCCTAAGACGGCGCCAGAGGCCTCCAATATGGACCCAAGACGACCTAAGAGCCGTCGAAGAGGGCCCCAAAACAGAGCAAGAAGGGCCTCAAGAGAGCCAAAGAGGCTCCCAGTACGGCCCACGAAGGCACCGAACACGGCCCAAGATGCTTCCAAGACGGCCCTAGGCGCCCCGAGAGGGCCCCAAGATTTCTCAGAGAGGTCCCCAAGACGGCCCCCGAGGGCGTCAGACAGGACAAGGCCGCCCTGAGAGGCCCCAGTCGACCCCCAGAAGCCCCAGGAGGCCCCCGAGAGGCCCCCGAGAGGCCCCCACGAGGCGCCCGGGAGATCCCCAGGAGGCACCAAGATGGCCCCAAGAGGCTTCCTCCTCCTCCTCCTGCTCCTCGTCCTCCTTTCCCTCTCTCCTCTCCTTCTTCCACGGGCGCATGTCGTTGGATCTTCCGCCAAAGATGGTTCCAGGAGGGCCTCGAAGTCGAGGAAGATGGCCCCAGATGGCCTCCAAGATTGCCAAGATAGCCCCCGAGCTGGAGAAGATGACCACAAAGGGGCCCAGGATGGCCCCAAAACAGCCCCAGATGACCCCGATACGGCCCCGGGCTCACCCTCTCTGAACACATCGAAGTTGCCAGGACGGCACGGGGCGGCCATGATTCCCCGAAGGCGACCTCAATCTGAATCGATACCAACTGAACGGGGGAACAGTTCACAAGGGGCATAGGCACGGCGTCCGGCGCGGGGGCCCAGCTAACGGGAGACGGGAAGGGCAGAGGAGAGGGACAGGAGAGGGAGGGAAGGAGGAGGAGGGACGGAGGAGGGGAGGAGGGACTGAGAAGAGGAGCTGGAGGGACAGGAGGAGGAGAGAGGAGAGAAGAGGAGAGGGAGAGAAGGGGAGAAGGAAGGAGAGGAGCAGGGGACAGGAGAGGAAGAGAGGGACGGAGGAGGGGAGAAGGAGGATGAGGGATCCATCAAACCGCCGCTCTGATGCGTGACACTCCTCGAGTGAGCGCCCCGATCACAAGTCGGAGGCGCATGTTTGGGCACATTGCGTTTCTTGCACATTTGCTCTGCAAATCTGATGAACAGAACGCTGCATTGTAACGCTTCTGCCGTTTCATGTAGCTTCCCTGCGCTAAAGCACACACCCACTACACTTGGGCACAACTCATGGAACATGATCCTGACGAAGACCCAACCTGCAATTGTGAATACCGTGTGTGGGTACCGACCGTTTTCGGTGGAGCTCACTTTGGGGCCACGACATGTAGTAAGGGTGTGCCGTAATGGTCATTGTGTTGCCATGCGAGCGCTGCCACTGGGGCCCTCGGTGGAGCTCCCAATGGGTCCACGAAAACTGTGAGAGATGTGCCGAAACAAGCGCGGCGGTTGCCATGCGGGCGCTGCCACTGGGGCCTTAGGTGAGGTTCCCTATTGGGCCGCGAAACGTGTGAAGGGTGTGCCGAATTGGGCGGGGTGGTGCCATGCGGGCGCTGCCACTGGGGCCTTCCGTGAAGCTCCCCATGGGGCCCCAAAACGTGTGTGGAAGGGGCGCCGAAACGGGTGTGGTGGTGCCATGCGAGCACAGCCACTGGGGCCTTCGGTGGAAATCTCTATGGGGTCACGAAACGTGTGATGGGTGTGCCGCAACGGCTGCGGTGGTGCCATGCGAGCGCAGCCACTGTGGCCTTCGATGAAGCACCCCTATACGTGTGAGGGTTGTGCCGAAACGGGCGGGGTGGTGACATGCAAGCGCAGCAACTCGGGCCCACGGTGAAGTACCCCATGGGGCCACGAAACGTGTGAGGGATATGCGGTGGTGCCATGCGAGCGCAGCCACTGGCGCCTTAGGCGGAGCTCCCTTATGGGGCAACGAAATGTGTGAGGGGTGTGCCGAAGCGGACGCGGTGGTGCCATACGAGCGCAGCTTCTATGGCCTTCGGTGGAGCTTCCTACGGGACCACGAAGCGTGTGAACGGCGTGCCAAATTGGGCGCGGTGGTGTCATGCGGGCGCTGCCACTGGGGCCTTCCGTGAAGCTCCCCATGGGGCCCCAAAACGTGTGTAGGAGGTGGGCCGAAACTGGTGCCATGCGAGCGTAGCCACTGTGGCCTTCGGTGGAGTGCCCTATGGGGTCACGAAACGTGTGATGGATGTGCCGAAACGGCTGCGGTGGTGCGATGCGAGCGCACCCATTGGGGTCCTCGGTGGAGCTCCCTATGGGCCACGAAGCGTGTGAAGGGCGTGCACAAATGCGCGGTGTCGCCTTGCGAGCACAGCCACTGGGGCCCTCGGTGAAAGGGCCACGAAACGAGAGGGGTGTGCCGAACTGGGCGCAGTGGTACCATGCGAACGCAGCCACTGAGACCTTCGGTGGAGATCCCTACGGGGCCACGAAACGTGTGAGGGGTGTGCCGAAACGGGCCCGGTGGTTGCCATGCGGGCGCTGCCACTGGGGCCTTAGGTGGAGCTCCCTGTGGGGTCACGAAACGTGTGATGGGTGTGCCGCAACGGGTGCGGTGGTGCCATGCGAGCGCAGCCACTGTGGCCTTCGGAGAAGCCCCCCGAAACGTGTGAGGGTTGTGCCGAAACGGGCGGGGTGGTGACATGCAAGCGCAGCAACTCGGGCCCACGGTGAAGTACCCCGTAGGGCCACGAAACGTGTGAGGGATGTGCCAGAATGGGCGCGGTGGTGCCATGCGAGCGCAGCCACTTGGGCCTTAGGCGGAGCTCCCTGATGGGGCAACGAAATGTGTGAGGGGTGTGCCGAAGCGGACGCGGTGGTGCCATACGAGCGCAGCTTCTATGGCCTTCGGTGGAGCTCCCCATGGGGCCACGAAGCGTGTGAGGGGTGTGCCGAAATCGGATGCGAAGGGCAGAGGCAAGGAGGAGAAGGAGGGAGGGGGCAGCGAAAGGAGGAACGCGGGGCGCTGTCTCTTCAAAACGAGGACCCAACACCCCAGGATTTAGGAAAAACTGCAAAGCAGCGACGCGTCTCTGCAGTGCACGTGATCTCTGCTGCAAGCCTCCTATGCGACCTGTACAAAATCTAACTCACCGCCCCCCCAGGGTCACGAGACTTCGAACATACACCCTCTTGAGCGGTGTTGACGCGCACTGCAATAAGACGTGCGTGGCAAGGTAACTTTACTGACTGCAACCCGAAACACAATAGAAGCGACTCGCCATCGGCACAAATGCCGCTGAATGCTTTGAAACGCGAAGCTGTCCACCAAACCTCCCAAGGCAGAAAAGTGTGCTTTGCAGGAAACGCGCCTGCCCACAAGGGTCCCCGATGACCCTGTCTACTGTGCCCCCGTCTCTGGCGCTATTGCGGACGAAGCAGCAGCCGGGCTGCGGAGGCGCAAAATAACACTGCAGAGGGGGTGCGGAAGGAGGATGATTTCCAAGCTCGCTAGATCTGCCATCGTTCGGACGCCTTTTTCCCATCAAGTTTGCGATTCCTTGCATCTACACGTCGCTCATTTCTAATCGTGCTCACTTCTAATTATGTTCTTTTCTGTTTGCTCCTGGCCCCCCAGTGGCCAGGAAGAGGCCCAGGATAGCACAAGCAGAAGTGCAAGGGCCCTGGCCCCCCCCACCAAAAAAACCAAAGAGCCTTGGAAGAATGAGACATGAACAGCGCGCACTATCCGAAGACGGTCCAAGAGGCTCCTCCGTGGCCCTGGTGAGGAAAGTGCACACGTCCGAGCGGTGCCAAAGCACAGGGCTCAAAAGGGTACCGTGAGCCCAAACCTTCGGGACGAGGCGGGCCCTCGCGAGGAACGTGCACACGTCCGAGGGTTGCCAGAGCTTAGGGCTCGAAAAGGGTACCGTGAGTCCAAACCTTAGGGCCCGAGGCGGGCCCTCGCGAGGAACGTGCACACGTCCGAGCGTTGCCAGAGCATGGGGCTCAAAAGGGCACCGTGAGCCCAAACCTTCGGGCCCGAGGCGGCCGCCGGACCTCTGTGACGGCCGAGAGGAGGCCCCAGCCAGGGGCGAGGCCAACAGCCAACGCGGCAGGGGCCCAGAGACACACGAATAGATACACACAGATCCCAGGAAATCCCCATATTTTCCAATCTTTTCTGTCATGTTTCCATATTTCCCCATATGTTCTGGGTTTTCTTCTCCCCCCCATATCCCATGGTTTCCCATATTTTCCGGGGGGTCGACGATGAATTGTGTCTGTGTGTTGTTTTCCCTCCTGAAACGCATCCCATCGAAGACCCATCAGGCTACGGCAGGTTCGTGTCGTGACGACCCTGGACTTGGTTTCTGACACCGCGTGGATCTTTCAAGCTCCAACGATCGGCGGCTTTTCGATCGCCAGATCCTTCCATATAGGCCGAATCTGGGCCACCGGCAGTCTTCAACCTTGAACGCCCGTGCTGGAGTCGCAGCCGCGTCGACATGACACGAACCTGCCGTAGCGAGTGCAAGCCAGTTGCTCAGGCGGGCCACCGCTCAGAGCGACTCGGCTGCGGCCAATCGCCTCTCGAAGCCCGCAACTCTCCGGCGCACCGCGTCCTTCATAGCGGCGTTGGCCCGGTCCATCTTCGACAGCTGCAGCGTCTCCGCCATGACAGTGGCCTGCAGCGACACCAGGTCCGCCAGCTGCTCCTCCGCCATGGCCTCAACTGCATCGTGTTCGTCGGTCAGCCGCTCCATTGTCTGTATCAGCGAAGGCGGTGGGCGGTCTGCCTTCCGGCGGAGGTCACCCGGCCCCGTCGTCACCACAGGCGCCACGGGCGCCTGGACGCCCCCCGCCGGGCCCGGCGCCAGGGCGTCGCACTCGAGCAGCCGCGCCTCCAGAGCTGCGGCGCCGCTCTGCAGCTCGCCCCGCCCGCGCTCGAGCGCCGCCCGCGGCGGCGCCCCCGGAGGCGGGCCGCCTCCGGGGGCAGCACCCCTCCCTTCGGGGCGCTCCTGCGGGGGCGCCCTCGGCGGCGGGCCACCCTCCGGCGCTGCACCGCCCGCCCCTCCTCGGCACGCCTCGGCGCCAGCCCCGGGCGGCCGCGGCGGAGGCGCCGCCACGGGCCGCGGCCGCGCGGCGCGACGCTCCTCGGGCCGGGGGGCCCGGGGCAGGGCGTGCAGCCGCCAGGCGGGCAGCACCGCGGCGAACAGCGCCAGCGCCAGCGCCTGCCAGGTCGGCGCGCTCGGCGTCCAGCCGCCGGTCGCGTCGGCCACCCCTGCAGCGACGCCGAGCGCCTCGAAGACCGCGCGCTCCCAGGCGTACCCCAGGGGCACGCCCAGCGCCTCGACCAGCTCGGAGGCTCGCTGGGCCTCGCCCCCCTGGCACCACCTCCCCAGCGGCATGGCCAGCGCGAGGGCTACCGCCGTGTAGGCGCAGGCCAGGTCGGCGCCGCCCAGCCACGCGCGGCCCCCCGCGCAGGCCAGCCCACGGTCGAGGCCGCGGAGGGCACACCAGCCGGAGGCCGACGCCAGCAGGGGGCGCGCCCTTCCAGCGCGGCGACTAGCAGCCAGCGCCCCCAGGGTGCCGGCGGCGGCCGCCAGAGAGAGTGCCTCTTGATACGTCTGCACAGGGCCGGCTGACCGCTCGGGCAGCCCAAACTCTGCCTGGCCGCCTTCCGCGGCATGCTGCAGCGACTGCACGAGGAGGAACGAAGACGAGATGCCGACGGACCACCTCTCGGCCTCGCGGGCGCTGCCGAGCCACTCCGACTCCAGCTCGCGCGCCAGCGGTGAGAGCACCAACCCCTGCGCCCCGGCCGCTGCCGAGCACCTCGCGCACCTCACCGCCCCGTACGACAGGCTCAGAACTGTAGCCCCGACTGGCACCACGCCTAGAATGAAGCCCAGGCGCGCGAGAGCCACCGCTCGTACGTCCCTGGTCCAGAGCCGCATCGGCCACGTGCGCATGGCGAGCTGCAGGACGCCGAGGGCGTCGACAGTGGAGAACGCCACCACGCGGCCCAGCAGAGCCGCGCAGGAGCGCATCTGCAGCTTCGCAACCTCTACGCTTGCAGCTCCGCCGCCGCCCGCCGCGCCAGCGTGGAAGCTCCGAGCCAGCAGAAGGTGCATCAGCCCGAACGCGAGGCAGGTCTGCAGAGCACCGAAGACCACCTCCACCGGGAGAGAGCAGCCACCGGCCAGCGCGACGCTGCAGGCCTGCGCGAGGAGGGCCGCCAGGCCGGTCGACAGGGCGGAGTCGAGGAGCCTCCACGCGCCCAGCCGCACGCCCTCGACCGGATGGTGCGCGAGGGACACGGCCGCCACCGTGCAGCACAGGCTGCCGAGCAGCATCACCGACGCGCCGAGGTCCTCGGCGTCCACGATGGCTTCAGCAGACGCCTGCTGGCCCGCCGTCTTGGCCGCCGCCATGGCGCACGCGAAGCCAAAGGAGGCAGGACGGCGCGGCAATGCCGCGGATCCGTGCCCCTGAAGCCAAAGGGCGACGGACAAACCGACCCATGGGCACGAGGTCGAAGTGCAGAGTTCACCCTGAAATGCCGCTGTTCAGTCCACTCCTGCGAAAGCCCAGCGGAGTTCCTGTAAGCACTGCGTTGCAGCTGGGTCAGAGTTGACCTGTCCCCCTTTCGGAATGGTGCGTCAGGCTTGGCTTCACAAGGGCTGTCTCCCCCTCCCCTGGTTGAACTCGGGTGCAGCCCCACCCTCCTGCTCCTCCTTCTAAATCGCGCGCTACCGCTCATCTGGCAAGGCGGGGGCTGGCCCACAGCGACTCGGCACACAAGCTATCCGCCTTTTACGGTCCAACCCCTCCTTTTTCTCCTCCCCCTCCTGCTCCTCCACTCAAGTATTAGCGGCTCGAGGCTCCCCGTCAGGAGCCGTGGCTTTCAGCGAGCGAACCTCGAACCGCGCGCAGTGCTTCCACGTAGCCCTTAGGGGGGCCACGTCCCACGGCTGGAGCTATCCATAGCCATCCTGGAGGACGTTGGCAAGACCTGGGCAGAATTCATTTGATCAAGCTAGAACCATCGCGCGCGCTCCACGCGCGAACAAGTTGTAGTCGTTCCACGCGCCCATGAATGCTCGGAATCCAGTTGCGTGCTGTCAGTTTATCGAGCTGCCTCGGGGCTGTCTTGCAGGGTTCTTGGGGCACCTTGGCCTCAGAATTTGCATGGGCACCTCAGCCTTGGCATCTACATAAACACCTCGGCTGTGGAACTCACATGGATACCCGAATCGAACATTTGAAACAGCATGGGCACCCCCGGCCTCGAACCCTATATGGTACTACAATACCCGAATTTGCAGCCGGAACCTCGGCCTCAGAACTTACATGGGCGCCGCGGCCACCTGGGGACCGCAGGGTGGAGACGAGGAAGAACACGGTCCTGCATCCCCATCCTCCCCCCCCTCCACCTCTTCCTCTAACGCCTCCTCGGCCCTCCTCCGCCCCCTCCTCTTCCTCCCAGCTGACTTGGCAGATCATGAGTCACGATGCACTGCACGGAACGTTGTGAAACTCATTCAATGGTTACGGCGTGTTGAGAGCGGTGGGCCAGCGGCGGAAGGGTGCTGATGGAGTGCGTGACGTGGGGCGCTCGCAGATGTAATGGATCAGGCGATGCATGCTGCAAGACTGCGACAGGCTGCCAATGCAACCTCGAATGTCGTCCGACAAACGCTGAGAACAGATCTCTCGTCCCTCCCCCCTCCCTCGTATTCCTCTTCTGCCAGCAGGGTCTGCTGGCGCAGGAGGCAGGCAGTCGCAGCAGCGCTGGTCGGCGCCCGCCGGCGCAGCAAGAGCACCTCGTCAGCCACAACGCCGGGGCCCGCCCGTGCGAGGTGGCAGCAGGAGCACGGCTTGCACGGCAGGCGCCGGCAATGCGAGGCAGCGGCAAGTGCGGGAGCGAGCACCATCTGTCAGAGTGCTGCGAGCGGCTCCCGCGCGCAGGCAGGCAGTGGCCGCGGGAGCTGGCCACTGCGAGCAAGGCTGGCAATGCAGCGGGGCTGGCACTGCGTGAAGAAGGAAGCGCACAGAGCCGCCAGCCCCAACGCCCGGATCAGCTCGTGCGGAGGCGCAGATTCTCCCACGGAAGGCAGCGGAACCACTTCGTCCATCCTCGACACTTCTCCTCCTCCTCCTCCTCCTCCTCCTCCTCCTCCTCCTCCTCCTCCTCCTCCTCCGCCCCCTCCTCCTTCTCGTCCGCCCGGATCCGCCGCGCCTCGCTGCAGCGTGGCGTCGGCCTTGGCGCGCTCCAGGTCGTCGCGCAGCGTCGCCAGGCTCGCGTCTGCCGCGCGGCTGGCCTCTCCAGGCCGTCACGCTGCACCACGGCCATTGAGGGCATCATCCGTCTGCGGCAAAACACGGAAGCCTCCCATGGCATCTTGTTGGCTCTTACGCATCGCTGTCTCGTCGTTGTGCCAAGCTCGAATCGACGCGAATGCGTTCTGACGACGGACTTGCGAGGGTATACGAAGCTCCCACGAGTTGCTACCGAGTCATCCCGTGGCCAATCATCAACGTGACACCTTGCAAATTACGCTAGATTCGCTTTTCGGAGGTCACGATCCTTTCTAAATCGCGCAGGAGCTGCGCCCATGAAACCACGAGCCTTCGCAAATCACTCCGGATTCATATTCCCGAGGCAACAATCCTCAGTACATTACAATAGATTCGCGACGATCCTTTGCAAATTGTCTCAGGTTCGCGCCCCCTGAGGCCACAATTCCAATTGAATTGCACAAAGGTTGCGCTTCCGAGGCCCCGGTTCCTTGCAAATTACACCAGATTCGCGCCCCCGAAGCCATTGTCCTTTATTACGCCAGGTACGCGCCCCCGAGACCACGATCCTCAGTAAATCACTCAAGGCTCGCGCCCACGAGGCCACCATCCTCTGAAAATTGACGCGCAGTGGAGCCCCCGAGGCTACGAACCCACCCCACGGAGCTGCCCAAAATCGCCCCCCCCCCCCCCCCCCCCCCCCCCCGTCCAAAGCAGAACGACGAACGTGCTCTGTATTTGGACATGTGTTCGGGGAGCGCTTTTAGGCCCCCCTGTCGTTTCCTGCAAATTCTGCGCTGGACACTTAGCCGCGAGTCCCCGAAAACAGCGAAGACTGCAGGGATCCCAAAGACAGGCCCAATCGCGCGATTCTCCCAAGATGACCTAAAACAGCTCCCAATCGTTTCAAGAGGGCTACTAGTTCATAACATGAGGGAAACGATCTAAGACGGCAACACAACGTTCAACAAGAACTCCCAGATTCTGATATGTTTTGCTGATTGCCAGCCCTCCTCGCATGATGAACCCAGATGTCTTCAAGACGGCGCAAGACATCCGAGTATAGCTCTGACACATTCCGTTCTGGTAGAGAGGGGGCTGGCGGCAGAGGGCGAGGCCCTTGCGGATATGCAAGACAATGACTGCATTGAGAGCTCTCTGACGAGATGGCCTCGTTTCTGGGTGCCCTAGAAGGATTCCCCACATGCTACGCCAAATAATTGGACCCCGTCCGGATCTTTTGATCGGGCGACAAGGTCCCCATCAGAATTCCCCATGCCAAAGCCCCCGGAGGGTTTCTCCAATCACTGTGGCATGAGATGGTGCCCTGAAGGCTTCTTGCGCCCTCGAATTGGAGCACGCATAGACTGGACCCCACAAGCTGCACTGACTCCACGATTGCAGTCCACTCGCCGGAGTACCACGCGCACGCTACGCCCGCGCTGAAGCTCTAGTCGCAACGTTGTCGCGTCATGGCTCCCCACTCCGTCTCCGGAAGCGCACGCGACGTGGCGCTTCAGAGCCGCGACCCCGCCCCGTCCACCCTGTGCGACACCAGCAGAACCACATGCGGCAGGCCGCCCTCGGGGGTATCCGAGACAGGGTCGTCTCAGACGGCGGTCCGCGAGTCATGGCCCGAGGCCCGTGCGCGGACGAAAGAACATCGGGGGACGTGCTGATACAAGAAGGTAGCCATGGAATCCCAGCAGACGTACAGTCGGGGCGTTGACCTAAGGAACCCTAAAATACGGAACGGGGCCCCTTTTCTCCCACAGGTTAAACTTCGACTTCCCATGGAAACACCAAGGCAAACTGTAGGCAACCTTCCCAGTAGGCTTAGGACAACCCTAGGCAAACTGTAAAACAATCAAGGCACACCAAGCCCCTCCCCATCGAAAAGGGTTCCTTCTTCAGCGCCCCGACTGTAATGGCCCTAACCATGGCATTCCCCCCCTGCCCAGACATCCGATGTCGTCTGCTGTCTCAAGGCGCGGGCCTCGAAGACCCGACCCTTTAATTACCCGGGGCCAGACCTGTCATCTTCGGACAGTCCCGATGCCCATCGATGGCCCCCAGAAGCCAAAAGTGACAACAGAAAAACTCAGCCACTAAGCGTAAGTCGGGCATGCCCCCCTGAAGGGGGATTTGGGGCGAAATATGAAAATAAAAAAAAACTCAAAAAGATACCCAACAAATGCTCAAAAGATCGTCCCAGACTACTTTGTACTATGCTTGAATGTTCCTCCTGTCGGGGGACAGGCCCGACTTAAACGCGAAGCATTATTACCCCTTCGATGCCCGGTAGCTTTCGGGCCAGGACTCGGGCCTCCGGCGGCCGCTCGAGACGAGCCGTGCACCCCTTGACGCCTCCCGACGAGGCGCGGCTGCTAGAGAGCATCCAGGGGCTGGGAAGCGGCCGAGAGCCGAAGAAGCCGCCAGAGGACCTTGAGCCTGGAACCTCGAAGACCTCCGTCACCACCCCCCTCTTGCCCAACCCCGATCTCTGGCGCGCCGGGGCCGCCGGGATCTGGCCTCCGCGGCAGCCGCAGCCCGCTTCTCGGCCATGGTGGCCTGGCGGGCCACAAGTACTCTCTCGCTTTCTCTCCTTCTCCCTCCCTCTCTCTCTTTTTTTCTTGGCATGGGCGCTCGGCCACTACTCCTGACAGGCACCAGACCTACCCAAACAGCAACCCGAGTGAAACTTCAGAACATGCGGCCGACGATCGTGGAGAAGCATGGTTCCGGCGCCAAGTGCTCTCGCCGTGCTCTCCCAGGCCTGATCATGCTGCAGCTGGGGCGCTCCCGAAAACGCCTGGCCCTCAAAGTCGGCTTCGAGGATCGAACGAGTTGCCATCGCCGTCTTCTCGGCGGAAGGCCGCGGAAACAGACCGAGGGCGGACAGTGTTTTGGGGGCTTAGGGCTTCCAGAACCCACACCATCTGGGGCGTCGGCTGCTGCTCCACCCCTCTGTGGCCCATGCAGGGCGAAGCCAGGACCGGGGCGATCGTTCCAGAGCGCTCCGAAGGCCCTCGGGGCGTCCCAGGGCGCTCTGGAACGGCCGCGGCGCCCGATGCAGCCTTCAGAGCTGCCGGATCCGAGAGATCCCAGATTTCCCCCGATATGATGCTGTCCAGCTCTTAGCCTCGCTTTCATGCTCGTGCAGTCGCTTGCTCTTCTGCTGCCTTGTTCTTGTCCCCTGATGGCCCTGGGGACCCGCTGGATCTCAGAGATCCCCGATGCTTCCCGGCCCGAATTTGCCCCGTTCCTGGCTTCGCTTTCCACCCTCCCTCCCTTCTGGTGGCCCATCATGTTGAGCAGGGGCCGACCGTCCCGGCATTCCTATAGTCCTACCACGAAAAGTTCTAAGAACCCAAGAATGCTCTAATTAGAACATGAACCCAATGTGGTAAAACAAGACATGTCCTAAGAGCATTTCGTGGAAACCACGAAAGGTTCTTAGAACATTACTTGGTAGGGCTATAGGCGAGCAGGGACGCTTCGCCACTGCTTGATCGCGGGCACCCGTGTGGCCCCGCGAGGGGGCTGCCCGGCCGGCCGGCCCAGGGGCGGCGAGGGAGAGTGCGGGCGGTGAGAGACGAGGCCAGTGCAAGCGGGGGTCGGCCAGAGCGCCAGATCTTGCAGGATCCTGCAGAGTTCGGGAGCGGCCAAGACGGGGGGGGGTCCAAGAGGGGGGGGTGCAAATCATGACCGGCGGCACGTGCGCGGCCCAGCGGGGGGGCCAGGGACGTAACGAAATAAAAAGAGGCGCCATGAAATCTGGGGAGATATCATGGCCCCCGCCATGATATCCCCCCCCCTAGTCCTCACCCCCCTTTGCCGCCCCCTAAGGGTACAGTCGGGATTGATTGGAGAGGACACGCGAGAGGGCACAAGACCCTGCCGAGGGCCACGTGGCCATGGGGATGTAGAAGGCATGGGTCGAGAAGCACAGGACGCAAGGGTACCCTTGATTTGGCAAGGTCGACCTACTAATCTGGGCCGACTGTGATGGATGCATTGACAAGGGCTTGCTTGCAGGATCCTGCAGGGTGCTGCAGAGTCTTGCGGGATCCTGGAAGGCCTGACTGGCCCAGGTCTGCACTGACCTGGGCCAACGTGTCACCGAAGGGTCTGGGAGATGGGCATGAATATACGAATCGACCCCCTTCTCTCGGATGCGTCATTGGGTGGGCGTTGTGGCCAGCTTGGATCAGCTGGAATGTGCACTCTTCGGGCCGCCCCTCAGCAGCTGCGTGTAAGCGTTGGCTGGGGCCCTGGGAAGCGCTGCTCGGCACTTTCTGTGAGCAGCTCTACCAGGGCTGCTCACAGAAACTCCTGTAGAGGGACATGCCCGACTACTTCAAGCTGGAACCAAGAAAACACATCAACGCCCCAAGCACAGCGCGGTAGCAGGGTCGAGGTGGAAGCGGCATGGTTGGAAAGCTGATGTCGGGCAGAACGCATACAATAACCAACTGCCACCCAAGCGCTCCCCATCACATCGGGACGACAAGATTTGTGTGCTGGCGCGTGCACGAAGTGGGATTGACTGGAGTGCCGTCAGATTCCTGCGAGGCCTCTGCCTGTGATGAGCGGCAGTAATGTCAATACTCTTCGAGGTGCCCAGGGCCAAGAAAGCTGGCCCCTCGGGCGACTAGCGTGACTTTTTTCAGAAGCCTCGGGAGCGCAGTTGGCACCCCGCACTCCCAAGATGGCCCAGCAGGTTCCAGGGCCCGCACGACAGCCCTGTCGGGCTGGGCCTGTCTTTTGCTTCTCCTGGCTGTTGCTGGAGGCCGCTCCTCGTGACCTTCTTCCTCCTCGTCCTCTTCTTCCTGTATTTCCTCATCCTTCCCCTCCTCCTCCTCCTCCTCCTCCTCCTCCTCCTCCTCCTCCTCTCCTCCTCCTCTCCCCCTCCTCCTCCCCCTCCTCCTCTCCTCCTCCTCCCCCCCTCCTGCTCCTCGTTTTCCAGCTTTCCAGTTTCATCCTAGGTCTCATGCAAGCACAAGCCCAGGTTAAAGGTCGAAGCGGAGCTGCTACAGGGAGGAAAGAGGCTGGGGCGGCCCGAGGCGAAGGGCCGAACCAGGAAGCTCTCCCTTCTGTAGCTGGCGCAGCTCTCCGAGCTTCTTCGCAGGCCTGCACGGCCCTCCAAGCCGTAGGCCCACCTTAGTAGAGGCAGACCCTCCGCATTTATTGCACAAAATTACGGACATCTCGGGCCCCACGACCCCAGAAACCATAAGGATATGGCCCTGGGTATCCTCCCGTTCGACGAAAACACGGAGGGACTCGTTGAGTCCCTTACAGGGCCCAGCACTCTCAACCCCCGACCGTCTCAAACAGCGACGGCAACGCCATTTGCTCGTCGAACTCCACCACGCGAAATCATGCCTGGGCGGGGGCACAGGGCGGGGCTTCCTCTGGCATGTTCTCCTGTCGAGGTGCCCCAACTGCTCTTGCAGCGAGGGCCAACAAGCCAAACATTTCGCCGCCCCTTTGACTAGGACGGAGTAGGACTTGAGGGCAAAAGAGATCTGCGAATTCTCATCATCACTGTAACTATTATAATGGGCCGCCAACTTAGCATAGTGGTCGGCATAGTTGTTCCCCGCAATGAATAGCCCATCGACCTGGTCAATGGCCTGGGGGCTACCCCTGTGGGCTTCCCCGTGGACACAACGGACAACACGACTAGGACCGACGACCCGACTGACCGCCCTCCAGAAGTGTCCTTGAAAGCATTTCGGCCCAAAAACGGCCGCGGGGCGGCCGCGCAAGGCCACGCAGTCCACATTCAAACCAAAGCTCTCGAGCCCATCTTCGCTGCACGCCGTGGCAAGAACCACCCCCGCATGTTCTCCCGACACCGCCGCCTGGGAGAGTGTGAAGGGAACGCCTGCATGAAGGCCTCGTACGAGGCGTCCTTCTTGGTCCATCTCCACGACCGCGCAACCTGCACGGGCAAGCGACCACACGAACCTCGGGTGCAGGCAGCTCCCGTCTGAGAACAGTCGGGCCCCAGGTCCGAAGAAAAAGGGCTCGCAGGCAAGACCATCCCCGTCAAAAAAAATATATCCCAGGACATTGGAGGTTGGGCGAGGTCGAAGTGGGCAACCCAGCCGACTGTGAAGAGTGGGTGTCCTTCACCTGCCTCACGCGCCTGCGTAGTCATTTGACCCAGCTCCTCATCCCTAACCTCCTGACTGTGACTGCAGACCCGCATTCTGTGCCAAGTAGCGTCTGGGCGGCCACAAAACTCGCAATCAGGCTCGACGTTCACTCCCCGCTTCTGAAGCTGCACACGGGAAGGGTGGGACCGAGTGAACATCTGCCTGAACAGAACCGATTCACGCGCACTGAGGTCCAGCTTGGAGGAGGCTAGGGCCTTCTTGGGGAGTTCCCACCAGAGGCCCCTCTCCAAGAGTTCCCTCCAACCAGGCTGGGCACTATCGAATTTCTCGCGCGCTACTTGTTGAACGAGCTTGTTTTTCAACTGACCTACACATAACTCTTTCACATAGGCTGGACTGTGGGTGGTGGGCACGATCTCCACCCCACGACAGTCAATGAACCTGGCTGGCCCTAAGATGTCCCAGCCCACTTCTTGGAGCCAAAGGATGCAGTCAGCGATAGGGCCTTTGCTTTTCAAGAACCACCTCTTTTGGGGAGCTCCTGAGATCCTAGCGAATGCAACGTTAAAGGTCTGTGCCGGGATGTCTGCTCTCAACGTGTCTTCGTGCGCATGCTGGTCCTCGTGGCCCAGGCTGGCTGAGAGCATCCACCATTCTTCGGCATAGCGGGCCAGCGGCATAGCAGACACATCCAAAGGGTCGCGGGCCCCAGACAAACACCAAACCAAATTAGCCGACGCACATCTCAGAGCTATGCCACTGGCCTTGGCGCCCACCCCTCGTAGGGCATGCGCCTGCTTGGGGTTGAAAGCCATAACTTCTCCCCCGTAAACTACAGACGGCTTCACATTAGTCTGAAACGTCTACCTCGGGCTTTACATTTTCTTGGAAGCTACTTAGCCTCCGTCGCCGTTTGAAGTACTTCACGAAACGTTTGGCTCTGGTCCTCAGGACCTTGTTGCCTCTGCGGGGTTTTCCCCCCGTGAAATCAATACCTAAATGCGGCGCGGCATAGTCTGCACCCCCTCCCAAGGGTCCAAGTCTCACCTGGGCCTGGCGCAACAGGGTTCCGCTCGTCGCCGTCATCCCGAACTTGCCAACCGCCAGCGGGAGCCCTAACGACTCCTGAAGATACCTAGCCATGCTGCCAGCAATACAATACATGGTGTCGAAGACCCACTTAGCATTCTTGCCCCCAGGCTTGCATGAACAAGTCGTCTATGCGCCGTCGGCCCAGTGAGTTGCACATGCGTCCATTCCTGGCTTCAAGAACAGCTTTGCTTCGTAAGTGGCCGTACTGCTGCCTGCAACTATCCCCCGAGAGGCCCAGAGGGCCGCGCTGACAATGCCTTCGTAGTTGAGAGCCCGAACCCAACCGTAGGAGGCGAGGGAGAAATCGAGGAGGTCGAGGGGGCACATAATTTGGCATGCCTTGTCGCGCAGGCCATCTCGCGGGACGTGCTCATAAAATTGCTTTATGCCCCACAAAAGGTGGAGCACGTGTAACTTATTTTCATTCCCCCATTCTGCGCGCACTGCAGCTCGCCAGACCGAGTCCGACGGGGGGCGCCGCTGGGTGGCAGAGAAGTTCCCCCCTTCCCGAACTCCGCCTCCCAGTCCCGAGTCCTCCCCACTATTGACAGCACTAAAGAGCCGTGGAAGACATTTAAAGTGACCAATCGGGCGCCGCGGGTCCCCTGGGCATTCTTTGGCCATGACGTGAACGTCCAAACTGCAGATCGATTTTGGCCCGCTGCTAACTAAACTCATGAGATGAAAAATCAGCGAGACACAGTAAAGGGCCCTGTCATGCAGCAACGCATAGTGTCGAGGGTGAAACCCGCCAGGCTTGCACGTGGCATCTTTAAATCTCCGAGAACAGGCTCTAATATGGTCAACACTGAACAGCCCTGGGACCTCCGAAGGCGGGCCTTCCAGGGGGGCTTGAGGTTGGGAAAGCTCAGAGGCCTGCCAAGCCTCTTCCGAGGTGCGCACCTGGGCTTCGAGCCGGGCCCCAACCGAGAGGAGAAAGCACCTGGGTGGCCGAGGAGAGATTCCCTTCCTTGTCGGGGCGCACCTGAGGTTTCCCTTTTAAATACCTATGGGCCAGCTTGCCCCCCCCCTTCCATGGCTTCAGTACACCAATCCTTCCCGCGTCTTCCAGAGCAGACACAGGGGGGGGGGGGGGGGGGGGGGGGCGAATCTCAAAGATGCTGGACGAAGGTGACCACATCGGGCAACACTTCCCGCAGCGAAACAGGGGCCGCGAGGCCGAGAGCTCCGAGATTGGCCAGGAAGGGGCGCCAGGACTTGGCCCCTGCTTGACAGAACACTCTCTGAAGGGGCCCTGGTTTAGCGGCAAGTCCGCGAGCTGGCCCAGCAAGCGGTTGGTGTAGTCCTGGGGTACTTGTCTGGGTTGCTGAGCATCGTCTGTAGCTCCATGAGGCGATTGACGACCCAGCCCATGCATCTCTGAGGTTGTTCGCACAAATGAGCCTTCGTAAACAGGGCCTGGGAGATGGGCTTCATCTGATACTTGCGCGGGGCCCCTCCTCGCAGCCCAGGACCTTCCACGCCCGTGGCCTGCCCCAGCTCGGCCCAGGCCTTATCCACAAATTCGTCATAGCTGGCGCCCAAGATATTTTGAGCATGAGCCCGAGCTTGCCCCCTCAACTGAATATGTCGGGCTCCAGGTCCCCCCAGGGTATCAAGAAATGCTTCCATCCTGTCGATCGTTGCATCGTAGCAGGGAGGGGCTGCGGGTGGTCCAAGCCTTTGTTTCGTCGGGGGGGTCTGATACTTGGCAGCCACCTGAACCCGCACCTCTTGCGTAGCAAGTCTTACTCGCATCTGCACAGGGAAATGAACTCCACTCGGAATGATAATAATGTAGTTTGATCGACTCTGCAACCGGCTCGATGGTAGAGCCCATGCAGAAGAAGTCGATCAAGCTCTGGTTGCCTCCACTGCTGAAAGTGCATCCAGCACTGGACCTGACAGTCCCATTCATGGCTCCCCAAAGCACCTGAGACAAAACATCACCTGGGTGAACGTTAAAACCCGCCCCCATCACAACAGGGAGCGCGCGGCGCGCCCAGTCCTGGCCGAACGCTTTCCAAATCTCGAGGTTCCTTGCTGAGAAACCCTCGCCGTCGTAAAAGTCGGCTGCGTACACAGCCACAGCTCCCATCTCTCTGAGTTGAATGAACGCTCGCACAAGTCGACCTGGCACAAGCTCCGCACGTCCCATTGCCCACGCAGGAATGTGTCCACGCACCAGGAGAGTGACCCCTCCACTGGGTCCTCCCCCTTGTCCCTCACCCGCTTGGGTTGAAATTTGTCGCCACCCCGCTGCCTGAATACGTTCCATTGCCTGCTGGTGGCGCTCTCCTCGAAGTTTCGTCTCCTGTAACATGATCACATCTGATTCTATCTTAGCTCTCACATCCACGAAGGACCCCCAAGAACCACTGTTGAGGGTCACGAAGTCGAAGAAATGCCGCGCGTTAAACATCCTGCCCTCTTGCCGCTGCCGCTGCGGCCGCCTGAGGCGTCCCAGGCTGCGCCGCGCCCGCTGGCCCTGCCGCCGCTGGCTCGGCGCGGTCGTAGGGCCCGCTGCGGGCGCCTCCTCGACCTCCACCGCCATCGCGGGAGGGAGGGGCGCCCTGGCGGGCCCGCGTGACCGCCGCAGCCAGCTTGGCGGCCAGGGCGCGCTTCTGGCTCTGGTCAAGCTCCTTCGCGTCGTCATCGACCTCCAGCACTGATTCGAAGGCCATCTCGCCCACGTCCATGGTGTTGCCCATCGGTGTTCCTGGAGCTGGCACAGGTACATTTTGGGCTGCCACAGGAGTGGGAGGCACGGGCACTGAAGCTTCTGCTGGGATTGACGCCAGCTTGGCCTGCAGCGCCCTCCAGAGGTTCTGGTCCTCCTGGTCCAGGTGGCCATTCGATGCCAAAGCCCCCAGTTTGTTGCCCCACTCCTGCACCTCCTTGCCGAAGCCGTCTGCACTGGGGGGCCTTGGTGGGGCCTGGGTCTGCGCCTTGGCCGTCTGGATCTCTTTCTCCACAGTGAGCTTCCATTTCCGTTCCTCTTCGAGTTGTTCCTGGAGAACTGTGATGGTGTCCTCCAGCTCCTCGATCAGTTCATTGCAGCTCTTGAGTTGATTTCCTTCTTCTGTAAGAAGGATTCAGCCCGACGGACCAGGACACTTGCTGGAAGAGCATCATCTCTTGCTTGACGAACATTACTGAGCACCTTCTGAAGCAGATTGACGTCGTCCTGTCCCAGCTGGTCGAAATTGGTCCCTGCCCCGTCAATGAATTGGTGGAGACAGTCAGCTGCGCCCATTGGGGCTGGGGGCTGAGCATTGCCTCCGCTCCACCTGCCCTTGCCTTTGACGCCGCCCCCCTTCCCGCCATGGCCGCCCTTGGCCTTCCAGTTCCAAGCTCCCCAGCCGTTGCCCAAATTGCTGTGCTGCCACACACCTTGAGCTGGTTGGTGGGGTTGCTGGGTGACCTGGCGGAGATCTGATCCACATGCGCAGCACCACCGATAGTGAGTGGGGTTCCGACTGCAACCGCAAGAGCCACACACCACGCTGCCACGAGAGAACTGAACATCCTTGCCTGTCATAGGCAAGCAAGGTGTAAAAAGAGGAATACGTAGAGAGTCAGTGCAGGGCGAGGAACCTCACTTCAGTACACGGACTGGTATGCTGCTGGGGCCGCCTCTCCCCTTGCCGAAATGACCTCTGTCCTTGAGCAATGCCTCCGGACTTGAGCCAAAATGGCTACGGACCTCCTGCTCCTCCCCCTCCTCCTCCTCCTCCTCCTTTTCCTCCTCCTCCTCCTCCTCCTCCTCCTCCTCCTTTTCTTCCTCCTCCTCCTCCACGTCCTCTCTGCACTGCAGCGTCGTAGCCTCGCCCGAATTGATCCGCGAAGGCGGCCGGGAGCGGCCATTTGAGGCTTGTTTCCCCTGCCACGAGCCGCCCAAGAGGCTCCACTGAACCCCCAGTGGTTTCCCCAACGGCCGCGGGAGCACGCAATTCACCAGCTTGACCTTTCACCACACGGGCGTCCCCAAAGGGCAGGAGGCGCTGGTGGTTCGCCAGACGTGTTTTCGACAATACAGCCAAGAACGGATCGGGGCAAAAGTTCACGTTTGGATACCATCGGAACTGCGGAGCGGAAAGGCGGAAGAGGAAGCAAGGCTGTCGCAGACCCGCCCGGCTTGGGAGGAGTTCGAATTGGCCATCCTTGGGGGGGGCAACACATTTCCCATGTGTCGAATCATAGGTCAATTGCATAATTCACGAACCCCGACATTGATTTTCCGTCGAGCCCACAAACAACTATCCTGCGACGTACCCAACCCATCGACACCAAGGGATGGTATATAAGTGTGCCGACAATCTTGCGACAGCAACACTGTAAGAGACGGTGCGCGCCCGACTCGCAGAACAGAGGTACAAAGGCCAGGAGGCACTGTACTGGGAAGGAGAAGCGACAGGAATACATCGGTGTGGAAGAACAATCACCTTGGCAAAGATAGCGAGATGATACAGCATGGGCAAGATAATGTTACACAAGCGGAAACGCAACCAGACAATGAAGTGTTCCGTTTTCCATGCCGAAATGATGAATACCTGCTCGTCGTCCTCCTCCTCCTCCTCCTCCGCCTCCTCCCTCCTCTTCCTCCGCCTCCTCCTCCTTCTCCTCCTCCTCTCATCCTCCTCGTCGTCCTCCTCCTCCGCCTTTTCCTCCGCTTACTTCTTATCGTTCTCCCTACCCTCCTCCTCCCCCACCCCTCCTCCTCCGGATTTGCGTGGGACCCCACTGTGTTGCGCACCCCAGCAGCCCTCAAAGCTGCGACAGTTTCACACTCCGCAGCCCCACCAAGGGATAGCGAGGTCCCCGATGTCTGCGTGGGACCCAGCTGTGCTGGCCCCCCAGCAGCCCTCAAAAGTGGCGACAGATTCACAACTTCGCAGCCCACCAAGGATGGCGAGGTCCCGTTTGGATCTACATGTGGCCCCACTGTGCTGGCTCCCCCAGCTGAACTCGGAAGTGGCGACAGTTTCACAACTTCGCAGGCCCCCGAAGGGATGGCGAGGTCCCGTTTGGGTCTGCGTGTGGCCCCACTGGCCCTCGAAAGTGGCGACAGTTTCACAACTTCGCAGGCCCCCAGGGATGGCGAGGTCCTGTTTGGAACTGTGTGTGGCCCCACTGTGCTGGCTCCCTCAGCTGCCCTCGAAAGTGGCGACAATTCTACCGATTTTACACTTCGCAGCCCACCAAGGATGGCGAGGTCCCGTTTGGGTCTGTGTGTGGCCCCACTGTGCGGACTCCTCCAGCAGTCCTCGAAAATGGCGACGGTTTCACACCTTCGCAGCCCCCCCCCCGGCATGGCGAGGTCTCGTTTGGGTCTGCGTGTGGCCCCATTGTGCTGGCTGTCCAGCAGCCCTCGAAAGTGGCGACGGTTTCAGACTTCGCAGCCCCCCAGGGACGGCGAGGTCCCGTTTGGGTCTGCGTGTGGCCCAACTGTGCAGACTCCCCCGGCAGCCCTCGAAAGTGGCGATAATTTCACGCTTCGCGGCCCACAAGACGGATGCGAGAGGAGAGAGCCGAGAGGAGACTGGAGGAATCAAGGAGGAGGAGGAGGAGGAGGAGGAGATGGAGACCCCACTGCTCTGTTCAAAACGAATCCAACCAAGGGAGGGTTGGGCACCATGATGTTCGTAGACCCATTGGAAGTATGAGCAAGAGTCGGACACACGGCGCACATCTCCTTTGGGGGGGACATCAATAATGGAGTCGATCTTCTATACCTAAATCCCTGGGGGCTCCAGCCCATCTCCCATCTCTCTCGTCGTCGCACCGGGGCCCCACCCCTCGCGGCATCGCCCGCGGTCCGCCCGGACCACCTCCTCGGCAGAGGGTGACCCCGCCCCAGCCGGGCACCGCACGGCGGCGGCCGACTTCACCCTACCGACCACCCCGCCCCCCAAGGAAACTCAGGGGGGTGCAGTCAACCAGCATCGTAAGGATGCGCGATATAATGATGCAGGGGCCTTGGACGTCCATCTCGAAGCCTTTCGAGCGGGGCGCGGCCAGCGAAAGCGGCGAAGGATGGACCGAGGAGGCGAGGATGCAAGAGTACCCTTGAGAAGATTGCCCATACTTACCATCATGGTTGACTGTACCCCCCCCGCAAAAAAACAAAAACTCAGGGGGGTTAGCAGGCATGGCGCTTGGACATAGAACCACCACGGGGTACAGTGCGGGCGCGGCCGCAAGAAACCCTCGCAAGAAACCCGACCCTGAGAACTCGTGCGCGAGGTGCACCCGAGGGGAAACCTGGAGCACCCGGAACGCAGCAGCTCCCTCAACTGATGCGGGAGGTCAACGCGCAGCGCGAGGAGCGAAGAAACCCAGGACACCCCGACGAAAAGCAGATGGCTTCTTGCTGCGCGCCCCACTGTAAGGGGCTCGGTTGCGCGCCATCCGTCGGCTCGAGCGACGACGATTCGAATAGGAGATCGGCTACAGAATCGATGCATCACAACATGGATCGCTTGTAGACTCCCCGCGTTTGTCGACTCTGCAACAAGTGCGGGGGATGTCTGCAGATCTGCGACCATTCAGTGTTTTTGCTCGTCGACCCGATGCCCGACATCCATCTTGGGGTGCACCAGTTCTGCAGTTGATCTCCAGGACGAGCAGCGGCACAGTGATGGCACTGCAAGAGGGAACGCCAGACAAGGAGCGAAGGGGCTCTCCTGGCCACGGCGAGCCTCGGCCGCGATTAGGTTCCCCGGCTTCGACCTAAGGAACGGCCTGAAAATCAGAGCCCCTCCTAAACCCCAAATGGTCCTTGCTTCAGCGCCTCGACTGTATCTTCTCCTCCTCCTCCTCCTCCTCCTCCTCCTCCTGCTCCTCCTCCTCCTCTTCCGACCCACGGTCGCTTTCCTGTCGGGTGGCCCCCCGAAACCGCAACGCCGCCCCAGAGGGTGCCTGCGGGGGCGGCGGCGGGGCTGCCGGCCGTCGCGCGGAGGAGGAGGAGGAGGAGGAGGAGGTGGAGGAGGAGGAGGAGGAGGAGGAAAAGTAGGAGGAGGAGGAGGACGACGAGGACGACGAGGACGACGAGGACGAGGAGGACGTGGAGGACATGGAGGAGGAGGAGGAGAAGGAGGAGGAGGAGGAGAAGGAGAACGAGGACCACGAGGAGGAGGAAGAGGACGAGGAGGACATGGAGGAGAAGGAGGAGGAGGAGGAGGAAGAGGAGGAGGAGAAAGAGGAGGAAAAGGAGGGGGTGGAGGGGGAGGAGGACGCCCTGCCTGCAGCGCCGAACGCCAGTGCCACCAGACGAGGGCGAGCGTGTCCCCGTCGTGCGCGCGCAGGAACTGGCGCTGCAGCGAGGAGAGCTGCCCGGGCTGCATGCGCCTGGCGGCCTGGCGCACGGTCGCTGGAAGCCCGGCCGCCAAGCAGGGAGCGTGCAGTGCCCGAAACCGCGTCGATCGAGCGGCTGGCGGTGCGGCGCCCCGGCGGCGGGGAGCGTGGGCTCCCCATGGAGGCTGCGTTTGCCCCCGCCCGCCCCCCCCACTCACACGCTCTGGCGCTCGCGGCCTCGCGCGCAGCGACGGGGCGGGTGATGTCCTGAACCGACACATGCACACACTCACACATACACGCATTCTTCTTGGTTCCTCCAGCGGCCGACTGACCTCACCGCAGCCAGAGCGCACACACACACACACACACACATTGTTTCCTACGCGCCAATGGGTTGCAACCAGCGACGGAAAATCTAATCGGGACGCTGTCAAAACAACTGATCTGATCCACTTCCGTGGGGAGGTGCAGAATGAGAGTTCAGACGAATGCCGGACTTCGCCGATCGCTGAGCCGGGAATGCAACTTAGCACCACTCGCACACACATACACATACGCAAACACACACACACACACACGCACACACACACACACACCTGTTTGGCGTCGCGGCCCTGCGCGCGACGACAGGGCGGAAGAGGTCGTAAAGCACCAAACGCGCGCGCACACACACACATTCTTAGTTAGCAGGAGCAGACACGGTCCAAGTTGGCGAGGCGGATGCGGGGCGCGCGTGCGCGAAATGAGGATCAAGCAGGGCCCACCACCGACCCACTCACCCACACACTTTTGGCGGTCGCGGCCTCGCGCGCAGCGTCGAGGCGGAGAATGTCACAGAACGGGCGGGCGCACGCGCGCGCGCAGGGGGGGCACTCAGAGCGCAAGGGGCCCGTACTGGGTCGACCAGCCATCGGCATACCCGGGCATGCGCAGCGAGGGTGCAACGGGTGGAAAAGGCAAAATCTGGGGAAGAGGAGGCGCAGTAGGACAAGCGACGAAGGACAAAGGGACAGCCAGTGGCCAAACAACAGCACGAAGCTGCAAGGAGGGCGGGAGACGGAGAGGACAGCCGGAGCAAGGCGGAGCGCGACGGTGCGGGCAGCCGAGAACGGCTGGGCCCAGGGCGGAGGAGAGATGATTTCTGGGCGGACATCGCGCAATATTGCGGTGCAACCAGACCAGGGAAGCGGTGGAGGCGGGGCACCGCCAAAGGACGGGGGGGCGAGCGAAGCGCAGAATGAGCTGGGGGCGGTCCGCCACCTCGCAGCCCGGCCCCTACACCGCCAGCACCCAGACAGCCGGCACTTGCCCGTGTCCCACGCACACGCACTTTGAGCGCTCGGAAGGCGCGCACCCAGCCACAGCGAACCAGCGCCGGGCGACATCAACAGAAGGCACACGATGCAGGATGGGTCCGCCAAAACCAGAATTGGGATGACAGAGGACTGCGGGGCAAGAGCAAGGAAGGCAGAAGGGGCGCGGCTCAGCGGGTCCGTGAGCAGGTGCTGTTCCCGCGCGACCCACACGCGAGTTTTGCAAGGCACGCCAGCAGCTCTCGAGAGCATTTCTTCATCCGCGGCGATACCGGGCATCATGGGGGCGGGGAGGAGGGGGGGCGGGGGGCGGGGCATAAGGTAACGCCCCCAACCCCACCCCTGGCGTGTGGGCCGCAGTGCAGTTGGACGCACTGGGGGAGGGCGAGCGTTACGTGATGGGGGGGGGGGGGGCGGACGCGGGGGAGAGGGGGGGGGCGGCATGACGAGCGTTGTGGCCCAGAGGGAAAAACACTCTCTTCAACGCGTGAGAGACCCCTGCCTGATAGCTGATCGTGCCGGGTTCCAGCCGGTGGCGCACGGCGTCGCACTCGCACGCCTCCTCGGTCGTCCGCGGGCGGGCGCTGCGCCACGGCGTCCAAAGAAGACGCAGCTGCGCACGCGCCAGAAGACGAAGGCAAGGGAAAAGGACGGGCCCCGCACGGGGCAGCGGCGGGCGGCGGCAGGCGGGGGGCAGCGGGCAGGGGAGGGGAGGGCGCCGGAGGCGCAGGCGGGGCAGCGGGGCAGGCGCCAGGCGGGCCGGCGGGGCAGCGGAGGGGGGCAAGCCGTGGCGCGCAAAAGTTCGGTGTCGCACACACACACACAGACATACACACACACACAGACACACACACACACAGACACACACACACACACACACACACGAGGAGGATGAAGCGTAAAACATCGGTCGCCTTTGGCGGAGCCCCGCGGCTTGCCCGTCTTCTTGTCCAGGGCGGCCTTCGGCCGCCCGTGAGCCGCCCTCGGTGCTGAGGGCAACGCTTCGGCCTCGAAAGAGACATCGCCAGCCCTCGCGGTCGTGTTCCTTCCAACGCCTGAGTCAGTTTGGCTGATTCCCGAAAACCTGAACCAAAAAGAGGTGTCAGTCCATTGGGTCGTATCTTTTAAATCCGCCACCTTCCGCAGGCCTTCCGCCGGCTTCTGCCGGCGGAAGTAGCCTCGTTTTACTGTCGCCGGCTTCCGCCGAGGAAGAGATGCCAACTCCTTCGACCATCGAAGGCGAGGCCCTTTCTGGAACGTGTCATACGAACGCGCGGAGTCTGCGAGGGATGGCTGGTTGGTTTGGGATTCGAGGGCCTTGCGGCGAGCGGGGTGTCTGAGCCCACGGGTTGTCACCGCCGCCCCCGCAGATCGGTGACCAGGTCCTCGCTGAGACTGGCGCCCACGGACATGCGCTTGATCCCATATGCGCTGCCCGAGCCGACAGCGGTGCTCGCTGCTCCGGGCTCGCTGTAGTTGAGCGGATGAGTCGTCCGTTCCTAGACGATTGCCCAGCTCTGCCAACGCTCCCGATACGCAGTCGAGGCCAAACAGGGGGATGGGGTCCGCAAGAACGCAAGGACAATGCACGGGGCCGAGCAAGTCGCCGATCGCGGCTCACGGGTGCAAGGCCTGGCAGCGCTCACACTTTCAGCGGCTTCCTACCCAATCGCGGGCCAGCCATGCGACCAGAGCGGGTGGATATCACGAAATGGCTGAGCCGATGGCGCGATCGGCGAACGCACGACCAGAGATCGCTGCCGCCGAATCCAACCTCAGAAACAAAACTTCTGGACACCCGTGCAGAACCCCAACAAAAACAACAACCACAACCACCATAACAACAGCAACAACAACAATAACATAATTATAATAACAACAACAACAACAATGACAATGACAATGACAATAACAATAACCACAAAAAAACAGCATCAACAATGACAACAACGACAACGAGAACGACATCATCAGCAGCAACAACAACAACGACGACAACAACATTCAGTTTAAGGCTGATCGCTCTTATCTGCTCGAGTGTCATTCAACACGAACAGCTCATACCCTTGATAGCGAGAGCGAGAGCGAGAGCGACAGCAGGACCACGAAGGGCAGGAAGGGGACCACGAATGGCGACAGCGGGGCCACGAAAGGCAAGCGTATGGGGCCACGAAGGGCGCGAACGAGCGGGGGCCACGAAGGTCAGATCATGCGGGGCCACAGAAGGCAACGACAGGGCCACGAAGGGCAGCTAGGGGGCCAGGAAGGGCAGCGAGGGAGCCGCGAAGGGCGACAGCGGGGCCACGAAGCGCATGCATATGGGGCCACGACGGGAGCGACCGAGCGGGCATGCGTAGATTGGGCCGCAGAGGGCAAGGACGGGGCCACTGAGGGTAGCAACGGGGCCACGTAAGGCAGCGAGGGGGCCGCGAAGGGCGACAGCGGGGCCACGAAGTGCATGCATATTGGGCCACGACGGGAACGAACGAGCGGGGGCCACGAAGGGCATGCATATATGGGGCCATGGAGGACAGCGAGGGGGCCACGAAAGGCTGCAACGGGGCCACGAAGTGCAGCGATGGGGGCCACGAAGGGTACGCATATATGGGGCAACGAAAGGCTGTGAGGGGACAGCGAAGGGCTGCAACAGGGCCACGAAGGGCAGCAAGGGGGCCACGAATGGCAGCGAGGAAGCCACGAAGGACTGCAACAGATCCATGAAGGGCAGCGAGGGGGCCACGAAGGGCAGCGAGGGGGCCACGAAGGGCTGCAACAGGGCCACCACGGGCAGCGACGGGGGCAACCAAGGGGTGCAACGGGGCCACGAAGGGCAGCGATGGGGCCACGAAGGGTTGCAACGGATCCACGAAGGGCAGCGAGGGGGCCACGAAGGGCTGCAGTGGGGCCACGGAGGGCAGCGAGATCCCGATTCCTAAGGAAGTAAACTGTGAGGGAATCCTAAGCGTGAGCGTGACTCCTAGGTACCCGAGTGTCGGGGGCGCGGCGCTTGAGGAAATTGCGGGGAACTCCAACGCAAGAGCGCGATTCGCCAGTAGATTGGAAGCAAGTCCCCAGTGAAAGCGCTACTCCAGATCGCCGAGGGACCGATTCCTGCATAACGTGTAGGGAAGTCCCACGCGAGAGCGCGGCTCTGGAGTAACATGCAAGGAAATCTCAGGCGGGAGCGGGGATGTTGGTTCAATAGTGACGAATTCCCAGACGGGAGCCGCTGTTGTAGAAAACCAAGGGCCACGGGCACAGTTTTGAGCCGAGCAACGTCCCCTGATCTTCTATATATCTATACATATATACACATACATAGATTAGTGCGAGCCCCGGGGGAACCACTTGAGTTGGAAAACGAAGTGGTCACCAGAGGGGGGTCAACAAAAATACCAGTCAGCGCCGACTCCAAGTAGATAGGAGGGCAGGAGGAAGACGAGAGGGGGATGGAGGGATGACGAAATGAGGACGGGAGCAGGACGGGAGGAGCAACATCAAGCAAGCGGCAACAAGCAAGCGCAAACGAGCAATAGCAAGCAAGCAAGAGCCAGCGATCAAGTGCAAGCAAGCATGGGCAAGCAAGAGCAAGCAAGCGAGAGCAAGCACGCAAGAGCAAGCAAGGAGGCGCCATTGGAAACGAGGGGGGTGCCATTGGCAAAAGGGGGGCAAGGGGGGCATTGGAAATAAGGGGGGGTGCCATGGGAAAAAATCGGGGCGAAAAACCAATTGCTTATGATGAGCTA